GCCTCTAACATGTCAGGCTGCGTCCGGTGTCCCGGTCTTACATGTGCTGAGCCCTCTGTTCTGAATCATTTTCTACTTCATATCTCCACATAGTTCTCTCTTTCCCTCCGTCACCACTGTCTCCAGTGTCACCCAGAAAGGTCTCCCCTGACTACCCTATTAAAAACTGCAACTCCACATCTATGGCCCCAGTCTCTTCTGACTTTCTTATAAATTCCTAATTTCCATGAAAGTCCACTGGCTTATCTTGTTTGTCTTCCCACTGGGCCCCATCAAGGTCACAAGGCAGCAAATTTTCATGTTTTGGTCATTGCTGTCCTCTGGCATTTCAGCAGGGTGGGGGATGGGGTAGGGCTTAAAAATCTGGGGGCACAGAAGGCCTGCAGTGGGAGACATGACATTTTCCCCTGTTAAAATTTATGCTTTATTCCTTTCCACAAACAAACCAATGCCCAGCCATAGAGGGACTGCCTGTGAGGACAGTCCCAATGTACCTGCTGCTGGCTGGGTAGACAGGGAGCTACACGGAGGCCAGGCCCGGAGCACGACTTTCAGAACTTCTCAGCATCCTGGAATCCAGAGCCAGAAAGAACGGGGCCTCAGTGTCACAACCCTAATTCAGCCACCAACCTGAATCAGATGGTGACCTGACCCTTCCTTGGCCAAGTCACACTCAGCACTGTCTGGCCACCCCAGGCTGTCGCCTGTGAGATCCTGTGCAGAGGCAGGGCCTCGACCTGTGAACTGATACCTTGTCACACCCGGCTGAGTTCTGACCCCCAAAGTGTCTTCGTGACCAGGCCTGCACAGTGTTGTTGGCATAGATAAGCAGACAGATATGTCCTGTGAGATGTAGCCCACATCTGGGGAGCCTTTGGGCCACCACCACGGACAGAATCCCGAGGATAAGAGATGGAACTTAGAAGAACTCAAGAGCCCAAAAGGTGACCCTTAGGGAGCTCCCAAGTCAGGACATCTCAGGGCCGTGGCTTGGTGACACACTTCTATAATCCCAGCACCTGGAGGCAGAAGGCAGGAGCATTGTAAGTTCCAGGCCAACTTGCTCTACATAGTAAAAACTCTGTCTTCAAGAAAACCAAAACCCCCAAAAGGTCTCAATCCTGCCACCTTCTGTCTGAACACACTAACTCCGTTCATCTTTCCCGAGTCTCGTCTTGGGGGTGGGAGAAGTGGCCTTTGGACATGCCTGAGACCTGGAGATAAGGCTCGCTCGGCCCACGAATTTGAGGGAGGGTTCCTGTTTAGAGCACAAAGAAGTCATGATCTTATAGCCCAAGCCTGCACGGAAAGGCCTGTTCCTGAAAGAAGTTCTGTTTGTTCTGTTTTTTCGAGACAGGGTCTCACTATGTAGCAAAGCTGGCCTGGAACTCATGATCTCCTGCCTCTAGAGGGCTCGGATTACAGGCAGGTATCACAATGCAGGCTATGAAAGAAGTTTTGATTTCAGTGTTCCTACACCAAAGAGACTCTTCCTCTGGGTTTCTAGATACCAGCTATCCTTGACTTTCACTGTCAAGCTTTCTAACAGTGACATTGCTGTCACTTCCATGATGGCTTGTTTCAAAATCAATTGACTAAACATTTGGACCTCTCAGGGCAAGTTGAGACATTTTTTTTCCCCATACTACCCATTTGGAAGAGGAAAGGTGCATTGTCAGTGAGTATGATTGGAAGGAAAAAATGCCTTCAAGAGACTGAGATGGCTTTGGATCCAGGTTTTTGCTCATGTCTGGGTTTTAATACAAGACAGAAGCAGAAACATATCCCTTACTATGCTATGACCTGAAGGCCAGGTTCCCAGAGCCCTGGAATATTCTAGTACAACTTAAGATTCTCCCACGATTTTTTTTTTGTGACTGTGCTGGGGTTGGAAGCCTGGGCTTTGATCATACTAGGCAAGTGCTCACACCTGAACCACATACCCAGCCCTTGTCCTCTGTGTGTGTGTGCGTGCGTGCGTGTGTGTGTGTGTGTGGTGTGTGTGTGTGTGTGTGTATTTTTCTTGGCAGCACTGGGGTTTGAACTCACGCTTGCTAGGCAGGTGCTCTACCACTCGAGCCATTCCACCAGCTCTTTTTGGTGATGGGTCTTTTGCCGGGGTTGGCATCTCTGCCTCCTGAGTAGCTAGGATTACAGGTGTTGAGCCACCAGCACCCAGCTGCTGTATTTTGTTTTTGAGATAGGCTCTCACTAACTTTTCTAGGGCTGGTCTCCAACTCTAGATCCTCCTGCCTCTGTCTCCTGAGTATCTGGGATTACAGGTATGCCCACCACACCAGGCTTGATCTAAAAACTTTCTAAGAAGCAGTCATTAATGCACATGGATCTTCACATCCTCACTCCACTAGGCAACGCTTGGGCTGTCCAGGCCCCCTTCAGCAGAAACGTTTACCACTTGTCTAGTCCCTGGGACCATCTGAGATTGAGGTCTTGGTTTATGGACAAGAGAATTAGAAAAAAAAATCCAATTGGAGACAGACATCTTCAGGAAAGGGTTGATCCAGGAGTCACAGAGCCTGCAAGTGGTCCCTGTACTGCCCCTGGCTGACCAACTCTGGGCCTCAGTTACCTCGTCTGTAAAATGGGGACGATAACGGGACAAGACAGAATTGAGGGGATGAAGAGACTTAATCTGGGGCTGAGTAGGCAGGGAGCTTTCAGTCCGCGGGCACTGCTGGGCTCCAGGTTGCTCATGTGCCTGGGTGGGCTCTGGGGTCCAGGTGGAGAGCGTGGCCCCGCGATGTGCTGAGGGCAACACCCAACCATCGCTGCGTTCTGGAACCCTCAGTTTGGTCATAGGAGAAACTGGGGGGCCGGGGGCGCTAGAATCCACCTGGCGCGCCCCAAATGACACTCACCTCCGAGGACTGACCCCCAAGATAGGGTGGGTGCGCCCTACAAGGGTCCCTCCTTCCCTCGGAACCGCGTGAGGTGGTCTCCGCTTCTGGGGCCCCGCGGGGGGCGGGAGTGGGCGTGACCAGGCTGTGGGCAGCTCCCGTTCTGATTGGCCCTTCGGCCCGTCACTCTCAGGGCCCGTCCCCCTCCTCTATAAAAGCACGCCCCGCCCCGTCCGGGCCAGTTGGGAGCTGGTCTTGGAGTGGGGCCCGTGGTGTCGGGACGTCGCGGTGAGAAGCTTGGGGTCCCATGGAACTGGGGGCGGAGTGCGTCAAGCTCTGGGCGCCCGGGGGACCCAGGTGTGACAGGCGCAGCCCCGCGAGCTCTGCTTTCGCCATCCCTGGGACTTTTAGGGGGCGGGAGAGGAGCCCCGAGTGCCAAGGCGGTGCCTCGCCCGGGTCCTCTCGGACTTGGGGAGCGCGCGCTTTTCCAAACTTCGCTGCCAGTGTCCTGGCGTGGGCTCCGCCTCCCTCCCGGCCACCTGGGCCCGTGCACCCTCGCCGGGACATCCCCCCCTTTCCTCTCTCCCTCCTCCTCTCCCTCCCCCGGCAAGTCTTGGGCAATCCCTGTCCCCTTCCCTTGGGAGGGTGTGGCCACGCAATTGCGGAAGGCCTGTCCCCTTTGGGACTTTTGTCCCCTTGGGCCTGGTACCTCCGTCTCCTGAAATTTCCCAAGACATGGCCTTCCTGTGTGACTCAGGTTGGCTCAGAACTGGGAATTCTCTTGCCTCAGCCTCCTAAGCCATCACACCTGGCTCCCAAAGTCCACTCTTAAACATGGCCAGGCTGCTGCTCTCGCTGTGTGTCTTTGGGTGAAGGCTCCCCCTCTCTGGGCCTTACTAAGTTTGCGAGTTAGAAAATGGTTGCCTGGGGATGGAGGGGTGGGGGGGGGTCACAGCAGCAGCTGGAGCCAGCTGTGTACCGGTCACAGACCACTAGGACTTTAATGCTGCTGACAACCACAGTGGCCACTCTTGGTTGGACCAGCTCCAAGAGGGGCTGGTGGACCCACCGGGTGGAACCAAGCTGCCTGAGTGCTAAGCGAGATGTGGGAAGCTTCTGAGACAGGGGTGGGATGTCACCAGACCCTGCCCAGGTACACTGAGGCACGGAGAAGGGGAGACTAGTGGGACTCAGGTACCCATCAGCAGGCCTGAGGTGGGTCTCACCAGCTGAATTCCCATGTGGGGACCTTGGTCATGAGCAGGAAGCTTACTCCTGGCTGCTTTGCCCCTTTCTATATATCAGCCACCCTGCAGTGGGCTAGATCGGTTTGGTTTATTATTATTGTTATTATTATTATTTTTTTTTTTTTGGCAGTACTGGGAATTTTAACTCAGGGCCTTGTGCTTGCAAGGAAGGCTCTCTGCTGCTTGAGCAATACCTCCAACACTTTTTGCTCTGGTTATTTTTCAGGTAGGATCTCCTGTTTTTGCCTGGCTGACCTCAGATTGCGATCCTCCCAATTCCGCCTCCAGAGTAGCTAGGCTTACAGTCATACACAACAGTGCCCAACCCTGAGCTGGGTTTGACCAGGCAATATTATCTACCCATTGAAATGTCAAAAACCTCCCCTCCCCAACCTCCAACTCCCTAATCCTCCTCACTGAAAGGCAGCCGCTGTTAAGTTTTCTAACTTCTGTGCAAAGACAATCAAAAAACATTCAAATTCTTCAACACATTTTCTCTCTCTCTTTTTTTTCTTTTGGCGGTTCTGGGGTTTGAACTCAGGGCCTCACACTTGCACGGCAGGCTTTCTGCCACTTGAGCCACTCCACCAGCCCTTTGTTATGATGGGTATTTTTGAGATTGGGTCTCAGGAAGTTTTTGCCTGGGCTGGCTTTAAACCACAATCCTCCTGATTTCTGCCTCCAGAGTAGCTGGGATTACAGGTGTGAGCCACTGATGCCTGGCTATTTTGTCTCTTAACAATATCTTGTTGACTGGTGTCAGTTACACATCAGTGTCTTTTTTTTTTTTTTTTGGTGGGACTGGGGTTTGAACTCAGGACTTTAAAGCTTGCAAAGCAGGCACTCTACCACTTGAGCCACTCCTCCAGTACCAATGTCAGTGTCCTTTCACCATTGCTAAAAGGATCTGTGTTATTTTCTTTAATCCTCTTCTGCTGGGCATCTAGGTTGTTGTCAAGTGTCAGGTTATGACCCACATAGGTGCACATTCCTCTGCCCCATGGCAGAGCAGGTGTGAGGTCCTCCCTGGAATGAGGTTTCTGGGTGAGGGGAAAGCCAGCAGTTGCTGGCAGTTTGCTCTCTGTGGAGGTTTGGAGGGGACCTGTGACTTTGGAGCAGGTAATACAGGTGAACCCTGAAGGGCTGTTCCTCCACGTGTGGTCTGGTACCCACTGTGTCTCCCCTTTCTGGGAGCTGTTAGAAATGCAGACACTGGGACTAGGGTGCAGCTCAATGATGAGTGAGGCTCTGGGTTCATCCTCAACATCTGCCCCAAAATTAGAGTCAGTCTAGCCCTGCCTTGAACCCTGTGACTCAGTACCTGCCACTCACAAGGCTCACAGGTAACCCTTGCACTGTTGACAACTCTAAGGAAGGAGGCATTGGAGGGCAGTTGTGAGCCCTCTGTCCTCAGCCCCAGGAGGGGCCTGGACTTTGCTCTGGGATCCGCAGCAGGACAGGCTATCCCTTGACTGGCCCTCCATTCACAGTGCCTGCTGCTGAGACGATGACTACCAATGGGACAGAGGCTAACCCCCAGATGACCAGGGAAGAACAGATACAGCAGGTAAGGAGGTCTGGGGCCACAACCCAGCACAACCCTGTGACTCCTGAGCCACGAAGCAGCCGCACTCAGTCCTCGGCAGGGAGTGCAGAGGTCGGGAGGTAGCTTTCTGAGTGGGTACAGCCCACTCCCAGGTGAGTGTGAGATGATTTAGAGTCTTGAAAGCTCTTGGGCTGGGCGTGGCGGGGCCTGCCCGTAATCCCCACCTAAGCGACACAGTGTGACTGTCTCAAAAGAAAGAGGCTCTGTCTGTGTGAAACTACCTTCCCCCAAGCCAAGTTGTCCTTGTCCAGAAGGTCATCTTAGGGACCTGCCTAGGGAAGCCACTCTCTGTCTCAGTATTTATGCGCCTCCCCCTTTCTAGGGGTGCTGGAGATGAATCCAGGGCCTCATGCACACTAAGCACGCTAAGCTCACCGCTGAGCTACATCCCAGCCCTTCTCCCCAGTTTAAACAAAGCACCCATTGTTTTGAAATGGGGTCTCGCTCTGCTCTTCAGGCTGACCTTGAGCTCCTGGGCTCAAGCACTCCGTTGTCTCAGCCTCCTCAGCAGCTGGGACCACAGCTGCATGTCACCGGGTTGGCACAAGGCTCCCGTTAATAAATAGATTTGGAGGTATAACTCATGTTCCATACAATTCACCCTTAGAAAGCGAACTCGAGATTTCTAGCAAGTTCCCCATGATACAAGATTACAACAGTTTTTATCTCTCTCAAGGGAAGCCCTGTCCCCATCAGTAGTCTCCCTGTCCCCTCCCCAGCCCATGGTATCCATGAGTCAACTTTCTGTCTTTTTTTTTTCCCCCAGTACTGGGTTTTGAACTCAGGACTTTGCACTTGCTAGACAGGCGATCTACTGCTTGAGCTGTTCTACTTCCCACTAGCCCTTTTTTGTGTTGGGTTTTTATTTGCCCAGGTTGGCTTCAAACCTCAAGCCTCCTGATCTCTGCTTCCTGAGTAGCTAGGATTGCAGGCATGAGCCACCAGCAATGATACACTTTAGAAAGGTGGAAGTTTTGGTGTGTGAATTGTATCGCAATAAAAGTACTGAGAAAATACAAATGACATAAAAAACTCAGATGGCAGGCTGGATTTGGCCTTCAAGCCAGAGTGTGTGGACACCAGCTTAGACCCTGAGAATGGTCTCAAGGCCTGTTGCAACGTGCAAGCTTGGGTTAAGTCAGTCCATCTCACACAAAGAGGCCCCCAGGAGCCCACGGTGGACCCTTGAAGCTCCTGGCCTTTGCGTGGGTGTTGCCAGGCACAGGTGACCTGAGCCATTTGTCTGGCTGGGAATAAGAGCAAGCCTGAGGGTCACCTGTGTTTTGGTCCTGTCCCCAGCCCACTGCCCTTCCTCTCACCCACAGCCAAGTGTGCTAGACCGTGTGGCTGGCATGCCCCTTGTCAGCTCCACCTGTGAAGTGGTGTCCGCGGCCTACACCTCCGCCAAGGAGAACTACCCTCACATCAGGACTGTGTGTGATGTGGCAGAAAAAGGCATCAAGACCCTCACGGAGGCCGCAGTCAGCGGGGCCCAGCCCATCCTGTCCAAGCTGGAGCCCCAGAGTGAGTGAGGCCACCAGAGTACAAAAAATGTCTCTCCCTGCTGGCTCCGGGAACCTTCCCCTTCCTCAGCCCTGTTCCCCAGACCGTCCATCTGCTGGAACCCTGCCCAGTGACAGCCAGATCTCTGTTTCCTTTCATCCCCATAGTCACCTCAGCCAGCCAATATGTCCACCAGGGGCTGGACAAGCTAGAGGAGACTGTGCCCATCCTGCAGCAGCCCACAAGCAAGGTAAGGTTGACGTCACCCAGGGTGTCACCTGTTGCCATCAGGAGCCCCTCAGAGACCCAGCTGGGTATGGAATCTGTTTGCTTATGGCCTTTTTGTGACTTTTTCTTTTCTCTTGTTGATACTGGGGTTTGAACTCACGGCCTCATGCTTGCTAGGCAGGTGCTCTACAACTTGAGCCACACAGTCAGCCTGTGGGTATGGCATCTGCAGGTCCTAGCTTAACTAGAGTAGATGAGTGTGACGCCTCCTCCCAGGTCCCTTCCCTGCCTGTCCCCATCCCCACCTCCAGTCCACCACGCCCAGCCAAAGTCTTAACTATAATGACTTTGAATAGTTACACGTGGCCCATCAGCTTTCTTGTCTAATCGCTTTACTGAGATATAATTGATATAAAAGCACACACAATTCAGCCATGTAACACAGCTCAATGGCTTTTATTAATTAATTAATTTATTAATGCCAACCTCTGGAAACTTAGAACATTTTCATCATCCAAGACAAGTTGTCCAGTGTTAGCCACTCTCTTTCCTCCCCAACACCCAGCCCCTCGTTGAAGCGCACAGCTCAGTGGCGTTGAGCACGCACATGGCTGTGCAGCCATCCCCACCGTCCACCTCCAGAACCTTCCATGTCCCCACACTGAAGCTGTCCCCTTCAACACTAACTCCAGCCCCTGCACCTGTAATCCTACTCCTATCTCTGTGGCTGTGATGACTCTCGGGGCCTCCTGTGAGTGGTGTCCTGCAGTGTGTGTCCTTTTGTGTCTGTTCATTTCACTGAGCACCGTGTCCTCAGTGTCCCTCCACGTTGCCGCATGTGCCAAAATTTCCTTCCTTTTCATGGCTGAGTAATATTCTGTGACGTACCTAGACCACATTTTGCTCCTCTGATCATCTATTGATGGACATTTAGATTGTCCCTTTCTGGTCTCTCACACATAGTGCTATGAACCTTTTTTTTTTTTTTTTAATTTTTTATTAGCAGTACGGGGGTTTGAACTCAGGTCTTCATGCTCTACTGTTTGAGCCACACCTCATTTCTAGTCCTGCTGTGAATATTTGTGTACAGCTGCATTTGTTTTCAGAGAGCATTTCACGTAGCAGAATGGTCTGCATCTGTCCCTCCATTAGAGGTGTGGGGACACACAGCCCACCACTCCAGCTGCCTTGGGTTTCCACACCAACACCTCCATTGACAGGTGGCTTAGCCATCTACTTTCTTTGTTTGTTTGGGGTTTTTTTTGCAGTACTGGGGCTTGAACTCAGGGCCTATACCTTGAGCCGCTCCACTAGCCCTTTTTTGCAAAGGGTTTTTTCAAGATAGGGTTTTGCAAACTATTTACCAGGGCTGGCTTCGAACCACAGTCCTCCTGACCTCTGCCTCCTGAACAGGTAGGATTACAGGCGTGAGCCACTGGCACCTGGCTTATATACTTTTTTGTGGGTCCCCCCCCCCACCCCGCAAGCTGGGGATAAACCCAGGGCCTCACACATGCTGGGCAAGCGCTCACCACAGAGCTCCACCCTGGCCTCTTCCACTACCTACTGAGCACCTGCTGTATACTGGAGATGGTGCTATACCATCACACCTAATCCTCATCTTGGCCTGGAGTGGGCCCCTTGCTGTTTACACAGAAATAGTCCCAGCCAGGGGACAGCAGAGTCCCATCTTTAGGCTGGCAGAGTGGCTCAAGTGGTAGAGAGGGCTCGGCTAGTAATTGGAGGCCCTGAGTTCAAACCCTGGCACTACATAAAAAAAGAAAAAGAAACCAGCACTTTCTTCATTGCCCAGTGGGAGATGGAACCTGCGGAGTACTCAGAAAACTGGTGGGCATCCCAGGAGCCCTGTCTTGGGCTGAGCAGATACTGACATGCCTTTGGAATGTCCCTTGAGGCCAGCATTCCTTTCCCTTACAGAAGGATGAGCTCAGTGTCCCCCAAGGCCGTCCAACTGAGGTGCAGCTCTGAGCTCTTGGCTCTGTGAACACAGTCTTCACTCTCACTTCTGGGTGACATGAGGTGGTTTTGGTCAACTCACCTGGCTGCCGTGGGATGGGGTGTTACCCGAGTGACTGTGAGCCTGGGCTGGTGTGAGAGCCTGTGGATTTGATTAGCACAGAGCCCGATTAAAACCTCCCTGTCGTGTGTTATCCTGAAACAAAGTAATCGTCATGAGTACAGGTCAGCAGGTGTCCAAGGTGCCACCAACTTAGGAGGACAGGAATGAAGCACACATGGCTTTTAATTTTGCAGTGAGCCCTCTGCATGGAGAGCTGTTTAAAACTTAGATTCCAGAATAAGAGGCAAGGGCTTATGGAGCGGCTCAAGTGGTAGAGCACCTGCCTAGCAAGCACAAGGCCCTGAGCTCAAACGCCAGTGCTGCAAAAACAAACAAACAAAACAGAATAAGAGGTAAAATAGCCAGGCGTGGTGGTACCCGCCTGTAATCCCAGCACTCAGGAGGCCAAGGCAGGAGGATCTCCAGTTCCACACCATCCTGGGCCCCATAGGAATACCCTCTTAATCACAGGATTCCATGAAAAGCTGTTCTAGAGGTCAGCAAACTATGGGCCCATGCGCCACATCTGGCCCTTTGCCTGCTGTTATAAATAAAGTTTCATTGCAACATGGCCCCCTCACTCATTTCCATATCATTGCCCACTCTGGTTGGAACAGAGGCCACCTTCTGACTCACAAAGCAGAAATCTCTGCCATCTGACCCTTTACAGAGAAAGTTGCTGGGCAGCATCCCTGGCCTCCCCCTGTCTGTACTAGGAGCTCCCCCTGGCCCATAAGTGTCTCCAGATGTTGACGGTTAAAGTGGGCGCTTTCCATACTTACGGGCACCCTCGGCAGCGCGGAGCCACGGACTTTCCTGTGTGTGTGTCTGCGCGGGCCTCTACCTCGTCCTCACCAGGTTGACCCTCTCCCTAGGTGTCTGTGTCCAGTCTCTTCGTATAATGACCCCAGTCACACTGGGTTAGGGCCAAACACTTGCCTCACTTAACCTTCATGACCACATTAGAGACTGTCTGTGACTGCGACCACCTTCTGACATATTGGGCCTTAGAATTTTGGGGCAGGACACAGTTCAGCCCCAATGCCCTGAGAGAGAAACAGGCACAGAGAGGTGGAGTAGTTTGGTGGCAGAGGCCACACAGCCAGGGACAATCAAGTCAGGGATTTGAACCTAGGCAGTCCAGCTGCAGAATTTGTGGTCTTAACCACACAGGGACACAAAATGCCCCTGTTTGCCCTCCTTGAAGGTTGGATTTGGTCTGAGGGAAGTGAGAGCCATGGAGGGTGTGGGCAGAGAAGGGCGAGACTGACTCTGTGCTCATGGGCGCCCGCTGGTGGCTGCTGCAGGGAACAGACTTGGGGGGCCTGGCCAGGCCCAGAGAGAGAATAGAGATACCCATGTCGTTCCCTGTCATTAGGTCCTGGCAGACACCAAGGAGCTTGTATCATCCAAAGTGTCAGGGGCCCGAGACATGGTCTCCAACACTGTGTCAAGTGCCAAGGACACCATGGCCACCCACGTGACAGGGGCCGTAGATGTGACCCGTGACGCTGTGCAGAGTGGTGTGGACATGACCAAGTTGGTGGTGAGCAGTGGTGTGCACTCGGTCATGGACTCCCGCGTGGGCCAGATGGTGCTGAGCAGCGTGGACTCGGTGTTGGGCAAGTCAGAAGCGTGGGCAGACAACAACCTGCCCATGACGGACGCCGAGCTGGGTGAGTACAGCCCACGGGCCTCTGTGTCCTCCTCGGGATTGCTCACCTGGGCTCGGGTGGCCTTCAGGGTGTGTCACGTACTGTCATCACATTCCTGCCACCTGTCCTGCAGTCCCCACCTGGCTCACCTGGGTCAGTGGTCACCTCACCACCCCCACATTCTATCCTCCCACAGCCACCAGGGGGCGCCCGTGAGCAGCATGAGGTCCCTCCCTCCCCTGCCCACGGCCCTCCATGGCTCCCACCTCCCTCAGGCTCAAAGCCCAAGTCCTCCCTGCAGCCCACAGGGCCCTGCATGACCTGCCTGCCCCTTCCCTGCTCCCTCTCCCTCTGTCCCCCTCGCTCCCTCTGCTCCAGCCACACGGACCTTCTTGCTGCTCCTTCAATACCCTGGGCTCTGTCCTACCCCAGGACCTCATTTTCTTCTGCTTCTTGTGCCCCATGTGGGGCGGATAGCTGACCATTTGGTTCCAGTCAAACCTTACCTCTTAAGAAGTGTCCACCCAGCCCTCACCTCCAACTTTTTCCCTTTCTTATGATTTTTGTGCACCAAGATTGAGGTTTGGGAGAGTAAAGTTCTGACTTCTGAGGTAGCCCTAGAAGCTGCATACAGCAAGCACTCAGTAAATATATATATATATATATATATATATATATATATATATATATATATATATATTTTTTTTTTTTTTTTTTTTACAGTGTGGTTCTGGGGATGGAACCCAGGGCCATGAGTGCACTTAGGCAGGCACTCACCCCTGAGCCTCACTCCAGCCCTTGCTTTTTCTTTTTTGTCTTTTTTTGCACCAAAGTCTGTCTATTTAGCCCATCCTGCCTCCGCCTCCTGAGTGCTGGGGTGACAGGCGTGGCCACCACGCCGGCTTCCCTGGAATTCTTGGTTCCTCCTTTGCTGAAACTCAGTGTTCCAGGCAGGGCTGGGACCACAGCCTAAGGCATGTGGCTTGAGGTGGCAGGTCCTCACTTGCTCACCCTTCAGTTCCAAAGCCAGATTGGCCACCACCCCTCCCAACTCTGACCCTCCAGGGGCAACACACCATCTGACCTGTCCCCTGCTGCATCCCAGCTTCCTGCTGCTCATGACCTGGAGTGGCTGTGGGTGACGAGACCGTTGTGAGTGATGGCAGGTGACCTGGAGCTGGGCACTCCCACCTGTCATCCCAGCACAGGAGGCTGAGGCAGTAGGATCAAGAGTTCAAGGCCAAGCTGGGCTCTGTAAGACCCTATCTCAAAACAACTCAACAGAAACAAAATCCAAACAAGGGCTCCTTGATTTGATGAAAATTTTTGCCTCTGTCCTGAACATGTAGAGATTTTTTTTTCTTGTCATTATCCCTGAATGATACAGTGTAGCGACTGTGTAGGTAGCTTTGACCTTGCATCAGAGGGCCTGCGTGGGTTCTGTGCAAACTAAGCCATGTTACAGAAGGGACTTGGGTTTTGATGTCCACTGGAGCCCTCGGATACTGAGGGCCTCTTGACGTGATCAACTTGCTTGTCATAGTCCTGACTTTGACAGAAGCAGAGGTGGACAGACCTGGCCCCGGGGCTTTACTTGGAGACCCTGTCACAACTAAGTCTCCTGTGGAGTTCAGGTCCCCTTCCCCTCACTTCTCAGATGAGGAAAATCAAGGTGGGAGAGAGACCCTTTCCTCCCAGGCCTTGGCAGCTCATCAGTGCTAGAACCAGGGTGACCCAGGACTGTGGCCTGGTGAGCTTGGACTCAGCTCCTGACACCCCTGTCCCCTTCCCCGCAGCACGCATCGCCACATCCCTGGAGGGCGTGGACATGGCGTCAGTGCAGCAGCAGCGGCAGCAGCAGAGCTACTTCGTGCGGCTGGGCTCGCTGTCGGAGCGGCTGCGACAGCACGCCTTTGAGCACTCACTGGCCAAGCTGCGGGGTGCCCGGCAGAGTGCCCAAGAGGCCCTGCAGCAGCTGGCACAGGGGCTCAGCCTGGTGAGCTTGGTGGCTGTGGCGTCTGCAGGCGGCAACCCTCTCTGGGCATGGCGAGGGTGGGCTGGGCGGCTCTTGGATGCCATTATCCATCTGTCACTCTGCTCAGCCAAGTGACAAAGCGCACAGCCCCAGCCAGGGCAGCTGAGACGACAGACGTTCATTGTCCCTCAGTCCTGGAAGCCTGAAATCCAAGGTCAAGGTGAGGCAGGGCAGGTTCCTTCTGAGCCTCCCCCGGGGGCTTGCTGACACCCATTCCCCTGCGTCCTCACTCATGTCCCTCTGTGACTGTGTCCTCATCTCTTCTTAGGCCACTAGTCCTATTGCATCAGGACCACCCTGTGACATCATCTTACCTAAATTTCCTCTTTATTTTTTAAATTTTGGGATTACAGGTGGGCACTGCCACCCCTGGCTCCTTAATCCCCTCTTTAAAGACTCTGTCTGCAGACAGCTATATCCTGAGGGCCTGCGGGCCAGGAGTTCAACATATGAACCCAGGACACCGTCCAGGTGGCTGGAGCCGGAGCTCTTGTGGCCCTCCTCCTCTCTGCCTGGCAGCCTGAGGCTCTTTCTCTCGATACTAATCGGAGGGTCCCCGGGGCAGTGAGGGTTGTTTAAAGGCAGGCGGGTGGGTTCAGTGGTAAGTGCTGGCCTAGTATGTGAGAGGCCCTGGGTTCTTCCCCTGCACCTTGGAGGAAAAAAAATCAGTAGATAGAGGCATATTTTACCTGCAATCAAAATCCCCCTCCTTGTTTGGATGTTACTGGGATTTGAACTCAGTACTTGTACTTGCTAGTCAGGCGCTCTACCACGTGAGGCACACCCCGAGTCCTCACCTCACCCGTGTTTAAGCTCACAGCTCAGCACATTAAGCACACTCACATGACTGTACAGCCATCTCCACCATCCACTTCCAGAACCTTCCATCTGAGGCTCTGCCCCCTTCCCAGCCCTTGCTACCTACCATCCTACTTCCTGTCTGTGTGGCTCCGATGACTCTGGGGATCTCCTGTGAGTAGAGGTCTGCAGGGTGTGTCCTTCTGTGTCTGCCCATTCACTGAGCACTGTGTCCTCACCAACACTTCAGGTGTCAGACTTGCCTTCCTTTTCATGGCTGAGTAGTATTCCGCCCAAAGTGCTTTAAAGCTAACTGTCATGTCCTATAGGCCAAAGTCAGTCTTGTGGCCAGGCCCAGTGGCAAGAGGAGGGGAAATAGGCTTAATGTGGGGAAAGCTACAGTGAATACAAGGCCATCTTCCATGCTGCCCCTGACCACAGAGGACATGAGTGAGTGGACGCCCAGTTGAAGCCCACAGAGCCACCGTGTCCCTGTGGCTCTAGCCACCATGTGTGACTCCCACAGCTCCCCATCTCTCTCCCTCCCCTTTCCAGACCATGTCCTAAGTCAGTTGGGAAGGGCAGAGCTGAGGGACCCTCTACAGCCACACTGTGGTATATGTGCCATGCTTGGGGGCCCTACTGGCTTCAGCAAAGCTCCCTGGGAGCCGCTTCCACTCACCTCCCTCTCGGCTGCAGGTGGAAACCATGAAGCAGGGCATGGACCAGAAGCTGGGAGAGGGGCAAGAGAAGTTGCACCAGATGTGGCTCAGCTGGAACCAGAAGACGCCCAGGGCGCAGAGAAGGACCCAGCCAACTCAGAGGTACCTACTAGGGCAGCCGGGGCCCCACCTTACTCTCTTGGTTTTTTTTTTTTTTTTTGCTATACTGGGATTTGAACTCAGGGCCTACACTTTGAGCCACACCACCAGCCCCCCTTTTTTTTGTGTGATGGGTTTTTCGAGATAGGGTCTCATGAACAATTAGTATTTGCCTGGACTGGCTTTGAACCACAGTCTTCCTGATCTCTGCCTCCTGAGTGGCTAGGATTATAGGTGTGAGCCACTAGTGCCAGGCTAAAGGGTGAATTTTATGGTATGTGAGTTATATCCATTTTTCAAAGGTGAAACACCCACTAAAAGCTAAAGCAATATTTGTAAAGCATATATTGAACATCAGTATAAACACAGCTGTTGAGCAAACACAGCTGGTCCTAAATGCATCTCCTCCCGCCCAGGTCCAAGTCAGAGCCCCAGCTGCCTGGGCAAAGTCGTGTGTCCCACCACTCTTACCTCCATCCCGGCTCGAGTGAATTTCAGTGCCCTGGTTTCTTCTGTCTCTGTGGCTTACAACTTCCTGCCTAGAAAATTCTTCCAGACTATTTTTTTTGGTAGGATGGAGGTTTGCACTTAGGGCCTTGCAATTGCAAAGCAGGTGCTCTACCACTGAGCCGCACCTCCAGTCCATTTTGCTGTGGTTATTTTGGAGATGGAGTTCATGAACTGTTTGCCTGGGCTGGCCTCGAACCAAGATCCTCCTAATCTCAGCCTCCCAAGTAGCTAGGATTACAGGCGTGAGCCACCAGTGCCTGGCTTTTTTTTTTTTCCTTTGGTGGTGGGGTTACTGGGCAGCAGATTCCCAGCCCTTTTGTTGTTGCATTTTGTTTCTGAGCTCCAGTCTAACTATGCCTGAGCTGGCCTTGGACTCACCATCCTCCTGCCTCCACCTCCCGAGTAGCTGGAATTAACAGGCATGTCCAGCTTACCTGGCTTTAAAAAACAAAGCGAAGCAGGTTAATTGAAATTTAATTCACACATCATAAAATGTCCCCTTTGGAGGGTATAATTAGGGCTGGGGTGCAGCTCAGTGGTGAGTGCTTGCCTAGCATGCATGAGGTCCTGGGTTCATCACCAGCACCATGAAAAAGAAAGAAAAAATGCACATATGAATAATAAAATAATAAAAAAAATTAAAAAAAAAAAGAAAAAAAACAACAGCGTGTAATTAAGTAGATTTTGGTATAATTACAGAGTTATGCAGTTAACTCCACAAATGCCAAAGCATTCTCGTTACCCCAAAGGGAGACTACATCCCTTGAGTAGACCAGCCACCCCATCCCTCCCAGTCCCTGTTACCCACTTCCTGTGCATGGATCCTCCTGGTCTGGCCGTTTCCTATCAGTGGAGCCACACGCTGTGTCCTTGTGTCTGCTTCTGTCACTGAGCTCCGTGTCCATGTTGTAGCATGGGTCAGAGCCTCGTTCAGTTCACGGCTGAGTAATATTCCAGGGTATGGATGAAGTGCCCACACTTCTTCTCTGTGTGTCCACTTATCCACCCGTAGGCCACGGGCTCCTTCCACTTCCTGGTTGCTATGAATCATGCTGCTGAGAACATTGACGCTCAAGTTATAGCAATTTGAAATTTAAAAAAATTTTATTACTGTATTGTTGTTGTGCTAGGGTCCCACTGTGACATTTACAGAAGCGTTTGCAATATATCCTAGCTGAAGTCACCCATCCATCCTGGAGTAGTTCCAGCAGGCTCATTGTCCATTTTCATACACGAGTACATAGCACTTCCACGATATTTGCCCTCCAGCCCCCTTGCCTTACATGCCCCACTCCCACTGGTGCCAACCCCGAACGGGACCTGTTCTGCCCTACTGTTCTCCCTTTTTGTAAAAGGTGCTTTTGTTTATTTAGGATAGCTATCCAGGGAGTTTCCGTGTGACATGTCCACCTTATCCCCTTCTTATGGTGATTTGAACAAGTTTAAATAATGTATATTCATTCTTGCATAGAAGTACATCACCCACATCCACCTTCTTTACTTCCTTCTTTTACCCTCCCCCTCCTGTTAGTGCCCTCCCCTCATTGTGACCTGCTTGTCATTCTTGTCCTTCATTGTTTATGTGTCTGTTCATTGTTCAGTGAAGATTTTGCCTCGGTGTTAAGGCCTGTACATACACTGAGCTCAAGTCACTGTGACCCCTCCAGTGCACTTCTCACCCTCTCCCATCCTGTGCTGTTTAGCAGTTTTCTGTGGGTTTCCTTGTGCCTTGTTCCTGCACAGATGTGATGTACTTTATTGTAATTTGCTGTCTTTTCTTCCTTCTTTTTCCTCCTCCCTTGGTCTCCTCTGCCAGTCCCATTTTTGGATACATGTTCTGTATACATTTCTAGGTATATATAATATTGCTTGCATTTGGACTGGGCCTACATAGAGGAAATGTGTGGCCTTTGGCTTTCTGAGCCTGGCTAACTTCACTTAAGAAATTTTTTAATTGTGGAAAAATGCAGCATATAAAATCCATCGTCCAGTGTGTGGGTGGATCTCAGCGTGTGTGTGTGCTCACTGGCTCCGCCCCATGAACCTTGGGGTACAATTCTTTGTGTGGTTGTCCACGTTCATTTCTCTTGGTCATAAACAGTGTCCCTCAGTATCCAGAGGGCACCGGTTCCAGGATGCCCGCTGATACCACAGGTCCGTTCTATGACAGGACGTAGTGTTTGCATAGAACCTGCCATGTCCTCTCTCTCAGAGACGGCATCATTTCTACAAGACTTATAACACCTGATACAATGTCAGTGCTGTGTACATCATTGTTACAGTGTATTGGTAAGGGAGTAATGTCAAGAAAAAAGGTGGCACACATCCAATGCTCATGCCATTAAAAATATTTTCCAGGAGGGGCACAGTGGTTCATACCTATAATTGCAGGTCCTCAGGAGACAGAGACCAGGAGGATCACAGTTCCAGGCCAGCCTAGGCAAAAAGTCTGTGAGGACTCATCTCAACCAATGTGCAGTGGTGCACACCTGTCATCCCAGTTACATGGGAAGCACAGACAGGATGGAGTTCCAGGTCAGCCAGGGTATAAAGCAAAGCCAATCTAAAAGACAACCAGCACAGCTGCGCAGTGGTGGCCCACGCCTGTAATCCTAGCTACTACTTCCAGTCTTGGTTCGAGGCCAACCCGCACCACTAGTTCTCAAGACCCCATCTCCAAAATAACCAGAGCAAAATGAACTGGAGGTGTGGCTCCAGTGATAGAGCGCTGGCTTTGTGAGTGCAAAGCCCTGTGCTCAAACCCCTGTCCCAATAAAAAACAAAGCAAATGAACGAAAACCACCAGCACAAAAAGGGCTGGGGGGCATGGTTCAAGTAGCAGGACACCTGGCCTGGCAACTGTGAGACCCGAGTTCAAATCCCAGTACTGCCAAAAAAAAAAATTCCAGTCTGTGGTTGGTTGACTGCATAACTGAATCGGAGGGCTGCCTGATTGTTTGTGTGGCGTTGCTGGTCATGTGGTAATTCCATGGATTCATGTTTTTTTGTTTTTCGGTGCTGGGGATGGGACCCAGGGCCTTGAGCCTGCTATGCACACGCTCTTATCTCAGGTCGCCCCAGCCCCCAGCGAACATTTTAGGAACTCAGTGTTTTCCGAAGTGAGCCGATGGCCATCAGCATATGAGGGACACAGTGTCTCCCCATCCTTCCCACACTTGTCACCTGACTTTCTGTTCCACCCAGGGTGGGGTGGCATTCCTTGTAGGGGTTTTGGTGGGGGTTTTTTTTGTTATTATTGGTTTTTGAGACAGGGTCTCACCTTGTAACCCAGGCTGGCCTGGAACTCAAGATCTTCCTGCCTCAGCCTCCTAAGTGCTGGGATCACAGTGTGTACCACCATGCCTGGCTTCCTTGTGTTTGGATTTGCATTTCTGTCATGCATGAATTTTTTCTCCACATCTCTTCTCTGTATGCTACTGGTGGGAATGCCTCTGTCTTTAAAAACATTTGACCAGTGTAGATTTCACATGGTTCAAAACCTGAAGAGCAGTGGGCTGTTGGAGTGGCTGAGTAGTATAGCAAGGCCCTGAGTTCAAATCCCAGTACCACCAAAAAAGATGAAGAAGAAGAAAAAAACCTGAAGAGTGGTATTTTTAGGTGCTGGGCTGGGCTTTTGCCCTCAGAAAAGCATTTCCGCAAGGTAGCAGAAAGACTTGTCTCCTTGTCTCTCTGCTACCTGACCATCCCATGCCGCTGTCCTCAGCAGGTGGAGTCCCAGGCGCTCGTCATGTTCCGTGGCATCACACAGCAGCTGCAGACCACATGCGCCTCTCTGAGGTCCAGCATCCAGGGGTTGCCCGGCCATGTGAAGGACCAGGTGCAGCAGGCTCACCGCCAGGTGGAGGACCTCCAGGCCACCTTTTCGGCCACACAATCCTTCCAGGATCTGTCCAGCAGTGTCCTGGCCCAGAGTCGAGAGCAGGTGGCCAAGGCCTGGGAGGCCCTGGACCACATGGTGGAATATGTGGCACAAAATACGCCCGTCATGTGGCTGGTGGGGCCCTTCTCACCCGGGATCACCGAGAAAACTCCGGAAGAGAAGAAGTAGGGTAAGGGGCTGGGGGGCTGCGTCTCCTGTACTATTTCATAATTGTCCCTCCCGGGTCCTTAGTGACCTTTTTGGCTTTCATGTGACCTCACCAAACTGCTCCTGACCCACTGAGCTTGGAGGAGCCATACACCAGTTTATTAGGGTGAAGTTTCCAGAAAAAAATTTTTTCTAGAAAGTTCCAAACATATTATTTTTGTTCTGAAACCCAAAAATATAGTTGCTGTATTCTGTTTCCTTTTTACATCCAGGCCCAGGGTACCGGGCTTAGATGTCTGGTCCAAGAAGTCGGCCTCCTGGGATGGAATGGACAGCCAAGCTCCTGACACTCGTTCCAGATCAGATAGGGGTGAAACTTGTGCGGGTAGCAGGGCCTTCAGGATGGCCTTAATAAATTTTACCTGCAGCTAAGTGCAGGCTGACTGTGTGCATTTGTGTCTACGTCCACTGCTGTAACAAAAACACCATAGGCTGGGTCATTTACAAACAACAAAAGTTGATCTCTTTATAGTTCTGGAGGCTTGAAGTCCAAAAATCAAGATTTGGTCGCTGGTGACTTCGTCACTTCCGAAAAGACTTCATCTTTTGTGTTTTTTGAGACAGGGTCTCACTGCATAGTCCAGGATGGCCTGGACTTGAGCTCCTCCTGCCTCAGGAGCTGAAATCCCAAGGTGTTTCCCAAGGTGAAATTCCCAAGGGCTGAAATCACAGGTGTGGCCACCACACTGGCTAAGACGTCATCTCGTCATTTTGTCCTGTTGACATAGAGCTTTTGGGGGACGCACCTACAGTCCACAGCAGCATGTGTATGTGTGTCTTTTTTTCCCTAGTGGCAGAGTGACTCCAGGGGCTGTGAGGTCTTTCTTGGCTCCTCTGCTTTGCCCATGTCTGTGTAGACAGTGGGGGAGGCCCACCCTGCTGCTGGCCTTGCAATCTCGCTCCCCATGACCTTCACCAGGCTCATCGTGGTTGTGAGGCACATGCTTATGCTTCGTTGCTTGACCTCCACTCTTGGAATTTGGGCCTGGGGGTTGCTGGGAAGAGCAGGTATTGTCCCTGTGTCACAGTGTGGGGTCCACAGGGTGAGCAGCTGCTGGCTTTTCCTCTATTGCAGTGTCCTTGCGATGGAGGTGGGGGTTGTTGTGGCAGGCAAAGGATGACCCACTACGGACACCATGTTCTGTTCCCTAAAACCTGTGCACATTACCTCCTGTGCCAAAGGGACTTTGCAGGTGGGATTAAGTCAAAGATCACAAAATGGGAAATTAGCCTGGTCTATACATGGGGGTCCTTGGAAGAGTGAGGCAGGAGCTGGGTCAGGTGGTCTGAGATCCCAGCACTGGGGAGGCTGAGGCAGGAGGACCAAGAATTCAAGGCCAAGCCAGGTGCCAGTGGCTCACACCTGTAATCCCAGCTACTCAGGAGGCAGAAATCAGGAGGTCATGGTTTGAGGCCAGCCCAGGCAAATAGTTCATGAGACCCTATCTTGAAAAAACCCATCACAAAAAAGGGCTGGTGGAGTTGCTCAAGGGGTAGAGCACCTATCTGCCAAGCAGGCATGAGAACCTGAGTTCAAACTCCAGTGCTGCCAAAAAAAAAAAGAAAATTGAAGGCCAGTCTGAGATGCATAGTGAGACCTTGTCTCACTCCTGGTAGAATGGCTATTATCAAGAACACAAACGACAACAAATGTTGGCGGGGATACGGTATAAAAGGAACCCTCATGCACTGCTGGGGGAATGTAAGCTAGTATAACCACTGTGGAAAACAATATGGAGGCTTATCAATAAACTGAAAATAGATCTGCCATGTGATCCAACAATGCCACTGCTAGGGACATACCCGAAGGAGTGTGAGTCAGATTGCAATAAAGGCACCTGCACACGCTTTTTTTTTTTTTTTTTTTTTTTTTTTTGCTGATACTGGGGCTTGAACTTGGCCTACACCTTGAGCCACTCCACCAGCCCTTTTTGTGACAGGTTTACTTTTTTTCAAGATAGCATCTTGGGACCTATTTGCCCAGGCTGGCTTTGAAACTCCATCGTCCTGATGTCTGCCTCCTGAGTAGCTAGGATTACAGGCGTGAGCCACCAGCACCGGGCTCATATCCATGTTTACTGCTGCACTATTCACAATAGCTAAGGAAGCAGCCAGGATGCCCCACTACTGACGAATGGACTAAGAAAATGTGGTATTTATACACAATGGAATTTTAATTCGGTCACAAAGAAGAATGAAATTTTGTCATTTGCAGGTAAATGGCTGGAACTGGAGAACTTCATCTTAAGCGAAGTCAGGTTCAGAAAGACAAGTCGGGCATTTTCTCTCATGTGAAAGACAGGTCCAAAAGACAAACGAATACACAAAAGCAAGCACACACGTATACACGAGAACGTGTCTCCAAAAGTGGGAGCCTGGGGGAGGAGGGAGGGAAGAAAGTGACAGGAAGTGAGTGGTATTGAGGTACATCACATCTGTTGGGGACAAGACGCAGGAAACAACGCGGCCCAGCACGCGGGCAGAGCGCTGGAGGGCAGGGAAATGACCAGGGCACACCCTCACTGAACAGTGAGCGAGGGCGGACGCAGGTCACACTGGGGAGCGCCCGAGTGGGAGGGGAGGGTGGGTGAGGGGCTGGAGTGTCCTCTGCGTGTGTCCATAGGAAGCATTGAAACCTGCCAAGTCATTTTAAGAGGGAGAGCAATGGAGGGGATGAAACAAATCGGGGTACATTACACACATATATAGAAATGTCACAACAAAACTCCCTGTACAACTATGATATACTAATATTTAAAAAAATTTTTTAAAGAGGGAGGCAGGAGGTTGGAGGCCGAGAGAAGATGGGAGATGCTGTGCTGCTCTGACGAGGGAGGAAGGGGCTGCGAGCCGAGGGATGGAGGGCTCTAGGATCCGGGATGGGGGACATGGGTCTTCCCTGATGCTACCAAGAGGGTGCAGCCCTGCCACAGTGCCTTGGCCTTAGGGCTCTGACCTCCAGATGGAAGCCAGCGGGTCAGCACCAATCCAGCCTAAGATTTGGGGGCGAGGAAGATGCTCAGACGCCCCCCCAGGCCCACCAGAGAGCAGAGCAGACCTGTGATTTCTCAAAGTCCTCATTCCTTGCCTGGTGAGCGTCCCACGCTGAATGAGAGCAGATGGCCATGCAGACTGGCCCCCTCTGTCCACAGTAACTTTACCCTGACAGTCCTGTTAGTCGTCTGTCACTGTGACAAAGGTTAAACAAGGAGGAAGGTTTGCTGGGGTCATGGATTCTGAGGTTTAGTCACTTGACTCACTTGGCTGTGTCTTTGCAGGCCTGAAGAGAAACAGAGCATGGTGGCATGAAGATGGAGCAGAGTTGTCACCTCGTGGCAGCTGGGGGCAGAGGGAGGGAGAGAGGAGGCAGAGAGGCCAGGGACATGTCACCAGTGGCCTACTTTCTCCACCTAGCCCCTACCTGCTAGTAGTGTCACCGTCTCCTAATATCCTGCCAAGCTATCATTAATCCATCAACTCATTGATCCATTGCTAATGTCAGACCCCTCATGATCCAATTGGGGACCAAGCCTTCCACACATGAAGCTTTAGGGAATATTTCATATCTAAACCATAGTAAGCCTCAAGGTAGAAATGACCTAAGTGGGCATTAAGAAAAGAATGTATAAATAAATGCATTATTGAGGTAAATGAGCCCATTGCCCTTTTCTACTGCTGTATAATATTCCCACGTCACATACAGTAATGAAATATGAGTATGCCATGTGGGAATATTATACAGCAATGAAAATGGGTAAGGGTTGGGCATGGAGGAGCACATTTGTCCTCCAGCTACTTGGGAGGCTCAGGCAGGAGGATCATTTGAACCTGGGAGTCCAAGTCCAGCTCTGGCAACATTTTAAGACTCCCCAATTAAAAAAAGAAAAAAAGGCTGGAGGTGTGGCTAAAGTGATAGAGCACCTGCTTTGCAAGTGCAAAGTCCTAAGCTAAGTCTCACTCCCACTAAAAATAAAAAAGATGTACTCGAAACAACCTAGAGGAACCTCTTAGGCAACATATGGGTTGAAAGAAGTCGGACACAAAAAAACACACCTCGATGAGGTTTAAAACTAATTTATGAAGACGGCAGGCAGAAGAGCATGCTGGGTGCCGGTGGCTCACTCTGTAATCCCAGCTACTCAGGAGAATCACCGTTCGAAGCCAGCCCTGGGCAAATAGTTCGTGAGACTCTATTTCAAAAAACCCTTCACAAAAAAAGGGCTGCTGGAGGTGTAGGCCCTGAGTTCAAATCCCAGTACCACAAAAGAAAGAAAGGAAACAAAAGAGCAGTTTCACGGTGGATGATGACAGAGAAGTGGACAAGCAGGTTTCTGGGGTGTGCAAATGGTCTATCGTTGCTGCTGTGGGGGGCTGAGGATGAACCCCGGCCCTGACGCAGGCTAGGCAAGTGCTCACCACTGAGTGGCACCCCCCGTCTGGAAGACATTTTTGGGTTTTTTTTTTGAGTCAGGGTCTTGCTATGCAGTCCAGGCTGGTCTCAAACCCTCGATCCTCCTGCCTCAGCCTCCCCAGCACTGGGATGACAGGCATGCACCCCTCATCAGGCCTGGGAGACATATTTACAGTCCTCTGTCCCCCAGTTTGGAGGCCCCACAGACAAGGCCCACCTCTTTCTCCCTCCCTGATCTATTCCCAGAGCTTGGACAGGCCTGGCACACAGTAGGTGCTCAGTCAAATCTCTGACACAGAATTGGGGGCACTGACCACCTGCACCCCTCCGTCCTTCTGCTCACTTGTAACTACAGGTGACCTTTACCTAGAGGGTCTGATGAAGCTGAGTGACCGTGAATTCTAACGGGGAAAACACCCGGGCCTTGCTCTTCACTGACTCCACTTCTGGGTGCCACTTCCTCACTTAGGAATGAAGGGGACCACCAGCCCTGCCCACAACTTGATCCTCAGCAGAAACCAGGTACTTCCACATCACACTAGGACTGCAGAGAACTTGAGAAACATCATCGCGTGGACTGTCGCTGTGGGATGACATCTTGTATTTGGTGCAGGGCACAAGGGAAAAGTCACATCTGTAAGTTGGTGGTGCTCTCCTGGCACAACGATGTCAAAAGAAATGAAAGATGACTACCTTTCACGCACTTAGGTTTTTCTAACCTTGTGGTAAATATGTATCATTTAAAATTTCATGGGCTGGCAAGAGCGATGCCCTGAGTTGAAATCCCAAAGTACTGTCTCACAAAAACATATAAAAGAAAGCAATAAAATTATGTTGCTTTTTTTTTTTTATTTTTTAGTGGCAGGGATGGAACCAGGGCCTTTGCACATGCTGGCAAACGCTCGGCCACCGCGCATCTGTGCTTAAGTGCACATTCACATGGCGGCAGACAGCAGGAGGACCGCGGTTCAAAGCCAGCCCCTGGCAATTAGTTCTTGAGATCCTATCTCAAAAAACCCAACACAAAACGGGCCGGTGGAGTGGCCCAAGGTGTAGGCCCTGAGTTCAAACCCCAGTACTGCTTGCCCCACCCCAAAAATAAAAGCCGTGGCATTAGTTGTCCCATGATTCATCCCGGGCCTGTGGTCAGGGCAGAGCTGTGGCTGAACTCCACATGGCGCCGGCTGGGGGACACAGGGCACAGAGGGCAGGCCTGGGCGGGGCGGCTCGGGGACTTTCCCGCTGTCCCTGTTGCAGGGAGGAGTTTCGGTGTGACCTCACTGCTCCGGGGATGCGGAAGGGGTGGCGCTTGTCCTCTTGCCTAGGCTTGTGGCCACCACGGCCACCACAGCCCGACTCTGCCTGGCGGCGACCAACCCAACGACGACTCAGCCACCGTGGCGGCCCCCGGTAGGTGTGAGTGGGGGCCGGGCTGCAGCCTCTCACCACGGGCTCCCCACCGCCATCGTCCCCAACCCACATCCGTCCCCTGTCCCCAAGCCCCAGCTCCCCAACACCTGGGTCCCCAACACCCGTCTCCAAACCACAGATCCCCAACCTTTATTCCTGAATACCAGGGGTCCTTCCCAACTTTGCTCCCCACCCCCAGATCCCCAACACCAGGGCTCCCAAAACCCCTGCCCCAGTCCCATGGCCCTCCAACACCCCAATATTTCTGGAACAGCCCAGATCTCTCCCCGAACCTCCCAGCCCCCGCCCCCCACCCCCCCTTCTCCCCAGGGTTTCTGCCTTCTTCCTGCCCTGCTTGCCAAGTGGGGCCCTGGCCCCGCCCCCCCGCCCTCAGCCCCGCCCCCCGTCCTCAGCCCCGCCCCCCAGCGCCCCCCAGGAGGGTGGGACAGGCCTGGGAGCTGCCGGAGCAGTTGGTACCTTGGTACCAGTGCCGGCTCTGCTCAGTCCTCAGGGATGCCCTGTGACAGCCAGGCAGGCTGAGGGACTGGGGACACCTTTTGGGGTGGCTGGGTGAGCACCCCTGTTTCCATGGAGGAGGGAGGGGGCTAGGCAGAGCCTCCTAGAGGGAGAGGAAGTCCATTCTGTCTTCAGCTGACACAGGGAGCACCTGCTATGAGCTAAGCGACAGTGTTCCTTACAGATGGTGAGCACACAGTAGGGACAGTAATGGCGACCTCAGGGCTCCCAAGGTCAAGACAGTAAGGAAGCATGAATGCCAAGTGTGGAGGGTGCAGCTCTGCCTGGTCTGAGGGCTCTCAGATGCAAGTGTTGCAAGGAGACTGCACACTGTAGGTGCTTAGTGAAAAAGCACAGGAAGGGAGGTGGGGGGCTGGAGCCAGGCTGTCTGTTTTTCTTGGCGGTGCTAGGGTTTGAACTCAGGACCTTGTGCTTGCTAGACTCTACCACTTGAGCCACACCTCCATCCCTTTTTTGTGATGGGTGTTTTTTGAGTTAGAGTCTCACAAGTTATTCGTCAGGGCTGGCTTTGAACTGTGAGCCTCCTGATCTCTGCCTCCTGAGTAGCTGGGATTACAGGTGTGAGCCACCAGTGCCTAGCTGCTCTGGCTATTTTTCAGGGAGGGCCTCACATCTTTACCCTGGGCTGGCCTTGGACTGTGATCCTCCCACCTACCCCTCCCTTGCTGCAGTGATCGCAGGTGTGCACCACCACACCCTACCTTTTTTTTTTTAAATGATTACTTGTACTTTTTTTTTAAAAGATGGACTTTGCTATGCTGCCAGGCTGGTCCTGAGCTCCTGGGCTCAAACAACCCTCCTGTTCCGCCTCTCGAGTATCTGAGACTCCAGACGCCGCTGCGCTGGGCTCTTTCAATGTTTCTTCGTGAACCAGAAGGAGTGAATTGGCCCTACTATGTGTTAGTCCTGTTGGGAGCAGGTGAGACTACCGTTTCGGTGAGGAGGGACGATATTGGAAGCAGGAAATGTTAAGTGCTTCTGGACACTGTTCTACGTATTTATTGACTTATTCAGTCAGTAAGTATTCAGTAAGGCACCTACAGTGTGCCAGGTATCGTTCTGTTCATTGATTGACTTTTTAAAATTTTTATATTATTGTTGTGCTGGGGATACACTGTGACATTTACAAAAGTTCTTACAGTGTATCATGGTTGAACTCACCTCCTCTGTGGCTCTCCTTTATCTCCCCTCCCCGCATTCATTGATTTTTTTTCGGTCAGCATTTATTAAGCACCTACTGTGTGTCTAGATAGAGCCGTAAGCAACAGAACACTATCCCTGGAGTGGCGCTCGCTCGGTTGGAAAGAAGGTTATTCAGCAACATTAAATCTGTCTTATCTGGTGTTTAAAGGGGAAAGGGGGAGAAGAAGGCAGGGAGTGTGAGAGGCATGGAAGCCAGGCCCTGTGTATATCTGGGAAGGGTGTTGGTCCAGTCTGAGGCACAGCCTGTGCAAAGGTCCCGGGGCAGGACAGAGCCTGGTGTGTTAGAGGAGCAGCGAGGGGACACCGTGAGGTTCTAGAAAAGGGAGCAAGGGGGACAGAGGAGGAGGGAGGTAGGGAGGGGACTCCTGCAAGAGACAACTCTTGATTTCTTCCTCCTCACCCCAGACCAGCTCCTCCAAAGTGCTCCATCTCAGGCCAAGACCCTGGTAACCCTGGTCTCCTTGTTGGATAGCAGCAGATCCTGAGGGCTCCAGATTCAGCCCCTTCCCTCCTTCCTAGGGACTGCCACCCCATCCTCACTCACCTGGTCCAGCTCAGTCCCCTCTGACCTGGTCCCTGCTCCTACCCTCACCCTCCAGTCTGTCCTCCCCACAGCAGCTAAGGGGCATCCGTGAGCACTGAGTCAGGTCCCTCCCCTGCCCACTGCCTTCCATGGCTCCCACCTCCCTCAGGGTCAAAGCCCAAGTCCTCCCTGCAACCCACAGGGCCCTGCACGACCTGCCTGTCCCCTCTCTGGGTCCCTCTGTCCCCCTTGCTCCCTCTGCTCCAGCCACACACCAGGCTTGTCCTGCCCCAGGGCCTTTGCATGGCAGTTTTCTCTGCTTCTCTTCCCTCAGATCTGGCTTGCTCCACGTCCCCTCAGGTCTCAGCTCAAATGTCCCCTCCTCACAGCGGCCTCCTTGGCCACCCCTCCTCCTCTACCCATTTCCTTCAGGGCACTTTGCAGACTTGAAATGAAATGGGTGACTTTCTCATTTCCTGTTGGTGTCTCTGGCCTGAGCTGCGAGGGCAGGGCGTCCCCACCCGATCTGCCACAGCACCTGGAGCACAGTAGGTGCTCAATGAATCCCTCCAAGGTGTGAGGAGACTTGAGTGTGTGTGGGAGCAGTTGGAGGCTGAGAGTGAGCAGCACCATGTCCCAAACATGGCTAAAAAAGTTTGAAAAAAGAGAGAGAGAAAAAAAAGAAGTTCTGCCAGGACTTACTATTGTGCTATGATTTTTTTTTTCTTTTTTTGTGGTGCTGGTGATGAACGAAGGCTTGGCACTTGCTAGGTGGGTGCTCACCATTGAGCGGCACCCCCCAGCCCCCAAGTGTGGCTTTCCTGGGGGTGTTGCCAAGCAGGAAACTGAGGCAGAGACAGGGTATACAAGGCGGCCAGCAGCCCCCAGTCCCCCAGGAGCCCACTGTTGGGGTGTGGAGTGGCCTTGATCCTAGTCTCCCTGGAAGGTGCCACCATGCAAGCTGGGTGTCCAGTTGTTTGGGGTGGGTGGTGGCTAGGCAGGGCAGCTTGAGCAGGATAGGCCAGGGATGGCACCCTAAGAAGGGGACAGTCACAGCCATAGCTGAGCCCGGGCAGAGAGCATTCATAAATAAGATTGGGTGGTTGCCAGATCCTTCCTGGCTGCCGCCGAGGTGGGTGGCCGGGATGTCCCCGGTCCTGTCCCTGTGGAGGGCAGGCAGCAGTCATGCCTGCAGTAATGCCCCCACAGTAGGGCATTCTCTGTTCTGTGTGAATTAACTCATGTGTCCTTGCCAAGCAAGGAGGCTGAACTCTACCCATTTCCCAGACTGGGAGACTGAGGCTGCCCTGTGCACATGGATAAGGTCATGGCCAGGAAGCTTCTCAGTGAGGCTCAAAGCCCATGGCAGGCTGTCCTTCCACCCCAGCGACGCCTCATTCCAGGTGGCACTGGGGAACCAACCCAGGACCCCCAGCTATCGGATTTTCTCCCTTGCCTACAGATGCGATGTGGGCCCTGCGTGGCTTGGCTCCTGATTTTCCCTGAGAACCCAGAATACCAGAGTTTGACACAAAACCTCCTTTGTTCCACGTTGGCAAGGAAGTCCCAACCACTTGTGTCTCCCGTGGTGGCTAGCGGGCCAGTGTGGGAAACTCTGAGCGAGTTTTCCTTTCCGCATTTCATTGGCGTAACCTCAGGACCATGGCTGTTGAGGGAATCTGGGACCATATTTCAAGTCGTCATCTTGAAACTTTCAAAAAAGTCTTGGCTGGCTTGTGATCCTACCTGAATATGAGATCATTGTGGTTTTTATCCTGTCATGAGCTTGGCTCGTATCAAACATAGGATGTCTCAGGTCGTATAACAAGGTCCGCATAAGCCCGAATCTGTGGTGACACACTTTGGAGCCCACAGGCTTGCTGGGTTCTAGAGTCAGACAGCCTAGGTTCCAATCCAGCTGCACTCTCCATAGGCTGTGTGGCCCTTGGCTACTCACTTAACCTCTCTGTGCCTCTGTTTCCTTGGGTTAAAAATGACAATAGCCCCAATGTGACTGGATTGTTGTGGAAATATCTAAATCCATCCATCCTCTCTCCCTTTCTCCTTCCCTCCCCCCTTTCCTTCCCCTACAAGTACTTGTGGTGTGCCTACTCTGGGCTTAAACCACCCAGTAGAGCCCAGGAGGAGCCCAGCTTCTGCTGTTGGTCACCCTCAGTCTGGTGGGAAGGCAGATGGTCAATGCAAAATAGTTACCATTCAAGAAAAGTCCAGTGTCTCACACCTGTAATCCCAGCTACTCAGGAGGCAGTGATCAGGAGGATCGCGGTTTGAAGCCAGCCGGGGCAAATAGTTTGAGAGACCCTATCTCGAAAAAAAACCCATCACAGGAGGTATGACTCATATGGTAGTGCATCTGCTCTGCAAGTGCAAAGTCCTGAGTTCAAACCCCAGTCCCGCCAAAGAAAAAGAAGAAGAAAGAAAAAAATCTATCAAAAAAAGGGCTGGTGGAGAGGCTCAAGGTGTTAGGCCCTAAGTTCAAACCCCAGTACCGCAAAAAAAGAAAGAAAAAGAAAAGTCCATACAGCAGGATATTCTCCTGTGAGTTTTGAGGGAAGGGAGAGACAGTCAGGGATGGGGAATGGGGACCTGGGGTGGCTACAGAAGGCACCTAATGTGGTGTCCTTGTGTCTGAGACTGAGGTCACCAGGTGAATGGGGAAGGGAGCACAGCAGATGCGAAGAGCCCAAGGTAGGAGCTGGCTTGGAATTTTTTGAGAAATGGACGGGAGACAAAGTTGCTTCCAAGTGGTTTGGCAGCACTGCTCGGGACAGGGCCCATGTCCACTCGTCTGTTAGTTGTGTGTGATGGCCGTGTCACGAATTTCCCCCGGTTGAAAATGGTGAACACTGTTCCTCACAGTTCCTGCAGATGGGAAATTTAAGGAGCCTCATTGTGACTGGGTGACTCTGGCTTGTGGTCTGTCATGAAGGCTCCCACTGGCTTCAGGTTCCGAACTTTCTGTGTGCTACCACAACTGAGTTCCCTGGAAGAATTATTCTCATAGGGAGTGAGTGCAGCCTTAGGCCTGTGCAGCCAGAAGTCCTAGGTTCAAATCCCAGCTCCATCACTTGTTAGCTGTGTGACTTTGGGCAAGTGACTTTGCCTCTCTGTGCCTTACTTTTTCATCTGTAAATAAGGAGGAACGGCAGGCTATCTCTCTGAGCACCACCAGGTCAGTGTCAGCTGCCAGGAGGTGACAGAAGTGACACACTGGCAGGCAGGTGGAGTGGCCTCTGCGTGCTGTGGAAAACGTGTACCCGCTTTGTTCCCGCAGGTCTTCCCCGGCTGCTCTTCTAGAACCGTGCAGGGCGTGGGTCGGGGGTCCCCAGGTGAGCAGAAGGTGGCAGTCCAGAACATGTCTTCATCAGCCCCAGCGTCTGCCGCCCGTGCCCCCACCCTCCTGCACCCATGGCTGGCCCAGGCCCATCCCTCCCTGGCACCTTCCACATTCTAGAGGCCGTGGGACGCGACAAGCTGGTCCACCTGAAACACAAGCTGAGGACCCTGCGCTCGGGCTGCCAGGGAGCGGATCTCCTGTGCGCCATGGTGCTGCTGACCCTGGGCCAGGACACAGAGGCCAGGGTCTCCTTGGAGGCCGTGAAGGACGATGCAGTGGCCCGGCTGGTGGCCCGGCGGTGGGCAGGTGTGGACAGTGCTGAGGCCCCAGAGGAGTCCCCAGATGTGTCCTGGACTGTGGCCCGCTTGTACCATCTGCTGGCCCAGGAGAAGCTGTGTTCTGCCTCACTGCGGGACATGGCTTACCAGGAAGCTATCCGCACCCTGGACGCTGAGGGTGACCACCGGCTGGGCGAGCTCCAGGGGGAGGCCCGGGATCGGTGTGGATGGGACATCACAGAGGACCTGGGGGACTTTGAGCTGCTCCGTTCTGATTTGGACCCCCTCACCCCATCCTCAGCATTGACCTCGGGGACTCGAAGCCAGCCTCGCCCCATTGATGCCCTGTCCAGCTGGAGCCGAGCTCGCTCCCTGCGGTCCACTGGCAGCCCGGCCTCACTGGTTAGCAAGCTGGAAATCAGCCAGTCGCCCACCCTGCCCTTCCTCTGCCCACACCGTGGCTCCCACGGGCCCAGCAGGCTGAGCCATGAGCCCCCGGCCAGTGTGGTGCCTCAGCCTGTCCCCAGGGGCTGCCAGGAGCCAGAGGAGGTAAGCTGGCCATCATCAGTGGACATGGCCAGCCCCACAGAGTTTCCAGACAGTCCCGGACACCCCGAGGTGGCCCCAGATCCAGCCTCAATTGTCCTCCTGCTGCCCCAGAAACAAGCCCTCACTCCCCATTGGAGCAGACCCAGGTGTCTGTGGACCCCAAATCTCTCCTCTCACCCATCCCGGACCCCGTGGATACTCCTTGCACCAGCAAAGACCAACACCACCCCAGCCTTCCATAGAAGATGTCACGTCACAGAATTCTGAGCCCGGCCCACCTGCTCCCTCGGCCATCCATACCTCCCCGCCTGCCCGTACTTCTCCCCCATCACCCCCCAACCTGGTTCCTCCGGCCCCCTCGTCCCCCTGCCCTTCACCTTCCAGACAGAGACACCAGGGCAGAAGTTCTACAACTTTGTGGTCCTCCACGCCAGGGCTGATGAGCACGTGGCCCTGCGTGTGCGGGACAGGCTGGAGGCCCTCGGGGTGCCTGACGGGGCCACCTTTTGCGAGGACTTCCAGGTGCCCGGGCGCGGTGAGCTGAGCTGCCTGCAGGATGCCATCGATCACTCGGGCTTCACCATCCTGCTGCTCACAGCAAGCTTCGACTGTCGCCTGGGCCTGCACCAGGTGAACCAGGCTCTGATGAGCAGTGTCACACAGCATGGCAGACACGACTGCGTCATTCCCTTCCTGCCACTCGAGAGCTCCCAGGGGCAGCTCAGCCCTGACACTTCCAGCCTGCTGGCTGGCCTGGTGTGGCTGGACGAACACTCCTCGATCTTCGCCAGGAAGGTGGCCAACACCTTCAAGCCACAGAAGCTGCAGGCCCGTCAGGCCCAGTGGAGGCAGGAGCAAGAGGCCCGCGCCCTGAGGGAGCAGAGACAACAGCTGGAGGGTCAGCGACAGCAGGTGGTCGCCTTCCATGCTGCCTACTCTGGATACCTGCAGACCTGGGCGTCCCTGCAGGCACAGATGCACAGGCTCCAGGAGGCTTTCAGGAGTGGCTTGTCACTAGGGGCTCAGGTGCCCTTTGGGGAACAGGTGCCCCTGGAAGCTCCACCACCCTTCCCTGCCTGGTCGGGCTACCCTCAGCCCCCCACACTGAACCCATGGCAGGCTGGCACCTCATCTCCTGCCTCCCTGCAGGCCCCTTCTTTCCCCCAGCCCCCCACCTGCCCCCAGCTCCCCACCTTCCCCCAGCCTCCCACCTTCCCCCAGCCCCCCACCTTCCCCCAGCCCCTCACCTGCCCCCAGCCCCCCACCTTTCCCCAGCCCCCCACCTTCCCACCTGCCTCACCTGTGCCCCCTCAGACCCAGGGACCACAACCCCTCATCATCCACCATGCCCAAATGGTGCAGCTGGGGCTTAACAACCAAATGTGGAGCCAGAGAGGCGACCAGGCTCCTGATGACAAGTCACCCAAAGAGTGAGTGACCAGCGCTGACCACCTGGTCCCCAGGGCCCTGGAGCCCTGCCTGGGTCCGTGCGTGGGCTTGTGGGCCTCCATCTGTCACCCCTGGTGTGCAGTGTTAGATGGACCATTTGCTACTTTGGAGACATTCCTAGGGGGTGACCAGCTTGCTGGCCACATCTGGACATGCTGGCTACATCTGGACATGCTGGCTACAGACACAGGCTGTCTCTGGTGGGGACCTTGGTGGTGGGAGATGTTGAGAGGACTTTTTATTATAATAAATATTTATTGAACGCTTACACAAGGCCACCTGTCCTCTGGAGAAACCCTCACCCCTCTCTTTGCTAAGAACCACGAGGCTCCCATTCCCCCAAAGAAGGGAACTGGAAGGCAGGAAGACGTGCTGCCTCTCGAAGAGCAGGAACCGGAAGTTGTATAATCTGCTCTCATCCCATTGGATAGGGAGGAAGGCACTTGACCCGGTCCTATTGCAAAGGATGCTGGGAAACGTAGTCTGGGAGTTGGTTGCAGCCATGTGTCTTTCAGAAAGTCTAGGTTCTAAGGTCTGGGAAGGTGGACAGAAAAGACATGAGGAAGGCCTGGCAGCCTTTTTTCTTTAGGGTGTGTCTTGAGGCCCCTGCCAAAGCTGGGCCCAGATCCCACCGTGTGACCTAGGGCAAATGTCTTCTCTGAGCCTGTGCTTTTCTCCTCTCAGTTTATTGTTTATTATCTTATTTTTCCAGTGCTGGAGTTTGAACTCAGGGCCTCACACTTGCTAGGCAGGCTCTGTACCACCTGAGCCAGGCCCCCAAGCCCTTTTTTGCTTTAGTTAGGGTTTTTTGCTGGGGCTGGCCTCAAACTGCGATCCTCCTACCTACAGCCTCCCTTATAGTTGGGATTTTCAGATGTGATGGCTAGTTCAATCAGCTCTTGGGGTTTTAATACATAAGCACACCTCAGTCCTTTAAGTGACTCCTCAGGGGTAAACATGGACCCATTTTACAGATGGGGAATATAGGGTGCCAAAGAAGTTGAATTCTGGCACCCAGATGCAAAGTGGGAGAATGTAGTGGAATCGCCAGCCTTTCAAGAGAGGGAAGGAAGGGTGGCCAGGAAGAGGGAATTGGACTCCCAGGGCCTGGTTGCTGCAGGCCTCACCCTCTATCTCTACCGCCCACTCTATTTGAGCTTTGACGTTGCCTTCCCTTTCGTCCACTGTCTGTCCCTGACAAGGACAGACCTGGTGAGTCACCCGGCAGCTTGCACCACTTGCTATTTTAGTGCCTGACTCAGACTTTGTGGAGCTAGTTCCCCACGACAGCCCTGAAGTGAAACCGGGGAGCCAAGCCTTGGAGATTAGATTTGGGGTGGGGCCATGCACACAGTGTGACTGACCCTCGAGGTGAGAGGAGAGCCGGCCGCAGCACCAGCACAGTACTCTCAACCGGCTCTTGGCTCATTTGACCATGTTTGAGCACGTACTGGGTGCCAGGATTGTCCCAGGAGCTGGGGTTACCCTGGGGCGGAGGGTTGGAAATAGACAGGATTGGGCCTTTCCTGTTGGTCTGGAACAGAGGATAGAAGTAAGACGCTGTCTGGGCCGGGCAAGGTGGCCGCGCCTGTGAACCCAGCACTGGGGAGGCAGAGGCAGGAGGATCAGGAGGATTGTGAGTCCCAGAGGTCAGTATGGACCCTGGCTCCAAAATTAAAATTAAAAAAAAAAAAAAAAAAGAGCTGGGCACCGGTGGCTCACTCCTGTAATCCCAGCTACTCAGGAGGCACAGATCAGGAGGATTGTGGTTCAAAGGCAGCCCTAGGCAAATAATTCATGAGAGCCTATTTAGAAAAACCCTTCACAAAAGTCAGCAGGGCTGGTGGAGTGGCTCAAGGTGTAGGCCTGAGTTCAAACCCCAGTACTGCAAAAAAAAAAAAAAAAAGAATTTTTAAACTTTATACATTCTTGTTCTTTTTTTCCTTTATTTTTTCTTTTTTCTTATGGTCCTGGGGTGTACACAGGTGCTCACCACTGAGCCGCAGCCCAGCCCCGTTCTTGTTCACGTCTTTGTTAATTTGTGATATCTGCAACACACGCAGCCTGCCACAAGAAGTCAGGGGACGGATCTGTCCTGGTCCCGGGGTGCTTCAGAACCCAGCACCAGGCAGGGCACACACTAAACGCCGGACACATGAAGTCTTTGGCTGAGCCATTATTGAGCACTTGCTGTGTACAGCAGACAGGTAGGTTACATGTGATTGAATGAGCCATGGAGCCCTAGGGGACCTGTTGGGGGGGATAGGGGTGGGTTGAGGAAGGTTCTAGAAGGAGGAAGGGACGTGGGATGAGCCATGGGCTCAGGGCATCTTTGTGCAGAGAAGACCCCAGGTGGCTCCAGGTGGCCCAGGGTCCCCAGTCAGGGCTCAGCTATCATTCCTGTGACCCCAGCGCCCCCTGGGGGCCACATGGGCTGGGGAGGCCGGCAGCCTTTCCAGGGGACATCGCCTTTCAGCAAGCAGCCTATAAGAAAACTGGGAAGAAAAAACAAGAAAGGAAAAATCCCCCCTTCTTTAAAAACCGAAATGTGCCAACTAGCAGATGTCATTTGGAGGGCAGACTGCCCGCGGCCAGGGAAGCCGGGAAGCTGTGCCCTCACTGGCAGTGGTCTCTTTCTGCCATTGTCGGGGATTAAAAAACCGCTCTCAGGCTGGCGGGGTGCTGAAGTGCCTAACAAGTGCCAGGTCCTGAGTTCCAACCCCAGTACCGCCCCCAAAATTAAAAACTAAACGTTTCTCAAACCAAGAGTACATTTGTAGGGTTCACAATCCAAAGGCATTAAAGAGGCCCTGGTCCCTTGTCACCCAGTTGTCCCCAGAGACAAATGTATTCATCCCCTACCCCCGTCCAGCGTTGCTTGCACCGTCCACCAGGGGGCGCCCGTGAGCCAGGCCCTCCCTCCCCTCCCACAGCCCTCCATGGCTCCCGCCTCCCTCAGGCTCAAAGCCCAAGTCCTCCCTGCAGCCCACAGGGCCCTGCACCACCTGCCTGTCCCCTCCCTGCCTCCTCCTCCCTCTGTCCCCCTGGAGGTGCTGGAGATGAACTCCGGCTGGTGTGTGCTGGGTGGGCAGTCACCACCATGCCACACCCAGCCTGCTCTTCTTTGGAGAAAACTTACCTGGTGGCCAGGACGGTGCACCAGACCTTGGGAGATTAATAAAGGGTGAAGTGCATGGGTGGAGTTGTTCCTGGCTCATGGGAACGTGTTCTAGAACTGTGTGCTCAGGCCTGGTGCTTGCTGGGGAGCCCAAGGTCAGTCTGACCCCGCTCTGGTGGCCCTGGGGGCCTTGTTCAGGGAACTAAAAGGCAAGCCAAGCAGAAAGGAGGAAGTTTGTGCCAGTTGCCCAGCCGGAACCTCCTGGCCTCGGGTCAAGTGCAGTGAGGGTGTCAGCAAAAGCGCTCAGCAGTCCTTCCCTGCTGCCATCCTCCTCCCTCTGTCCCCCTCGCTCCCTCTGCTCCAGCCACACGGCCTCCTTGCTGCCTCTCCAACTCACCGGGCTCATCCTGCCCCAGGGCCTTTGCACGTCCCACTGTCTGGATTGCTGTCCCTCCCAGATGCCTCTATGGCTCCCTCTTTACCCTCCTCACGCTGCCAGTGGGGCCTTCCCTGGGCACCCCATTTAAGTCATTTAAAGTCACGTCCATTTGGCGCCCCAACTCTACTGTTTGCACAGCCCTGGGCAGTTTGAGAGACTGTCATTCACTTGCTCCTAGCCCACGTGGTCTCCCATCCACCTTCTCCGACAGGGACTGCGTTGACTATGCTGCCAGGTCCCCGTCCCAGCACACACTAACAGTAACGACTGGCTTTGAATTAATGCTCGAGTCTGTTTTTATCTTTTCAACAACCTCTTGCCGGGCACCAGTGGCTCACGCCTGTAATCCTAGCTGTTGAGGGGCAGAGATGAGAAGGATTGCAGTTTGAAGCCAGCCCAGGCAAATAGTTGGCAAGACCCTATTTTGAAAAAAACCTTCACAAAAAAAGGGTGGTGGAGTGGCTCAAAGTGTAGGCCCTGAGTTCAAACCCCAGTCCTGCTAAATAAGTAAATAAATAAATAAATCTCTTGCTACCCTGTTCCCTTCCCGCCTTCTGGTGGGTGGCCCTCCATTCGTTCCATCATCCATTCAGGCGTGTGTTGAAGCACGTATTGAGTACCTGCTGTATGCAGGGTACTCATCAGTGGGTCGCTCCCAGCTGCACAGGGTGACGGCTGTGAGTCAGGTGGTTACCAGCAGGGCTGGGAGGGGGTCACAGAGGGTACAGTGGGGGGCCCCCCCAGGGGCATCTGAAGCCCCCACACAAGTGTGCGCGACACAGCCCAGGCACAGTCTCTGAGGGACAGAGAGGAGCCACCATGGCCAACCTGGGTGGCCCAGCCTGGCGCGTGAGCATGCACTTGGGCAATGCTTGGCACCTGTAAGGTGCAGCGATGAGCACATATGCCACCAGGGGGCGCCGGGGGACTCTAGCCTCTGCCCTGCCTGGGGCTGGCAGGGACCCATCTTGGGGACAGGGACAGGAACCCTGGAAGCGTGCTCAGTTCCTAGCGGTGCTAACAGCCTCGCTCTGTGCTTACAACTGCAACCCTCATAAATGACAGTTATTACAGCCATGGGAGTCTCCCCACCAACACCGTCCCACTTTGCAGGCAGGGAAACAGGCACAGCCAGGTGTCCTCGATTTCCAAGGAGGAGCCCGGGTCAGTGTGAGGCAAAAGAGGCACGCGAGAGACAAAGTGAAGGTGGAGCTGGCTTTGGAAGTTCAGATCAATGCTGTTGATCACTTGGATTGGAGCCCAGAGAGGGCAGGCGCCTGCCTGAGGTCACACAGCAAGTCCTCCTCTGCCTGGGACTTGCAGTGTGTCCTCCTGGCCCTGGGCCTGCTTGACACACAAATGCCATCAATGTTCCTGGGGTGGAGCTCCTTTATTTTTAACCTGTCCTGTGGCCATGGCCTTTTTATAGCCCTGGGAGGTGGCCACTTGGGGTCCAGTTTCCAAGGAAGCTTGCAAAATGTTCTCCCCTCCCCCAAGTGTTCTTGGGTGACCTGGCCTCTGCTACTCTCTTCCCTTCGGCTTCCCAGGGTCTCCGGTGCCTCCCCAGGTTTGTGCTGGCTCCTGAGTGTCAATCCCTGTTTCCTTGCAGCCTGGTACCTGGGACACACAAGCTGGGGTGGCAGGTATGGTATGCCTGCATCTCCTTCACTGGCTGATGTGTGGCCTTCACCTATCCCTGTCCCTTTCTGGGTTTCAAAGTCCCAAATAGGGCTGTGGTGCTCCCTGGCATCCCTGTGTTGATTCTGAACTTCAGCTACCTGGGAAATTAGGTCACAGTGATGGGCACTCAGCCCTGTGAATGAATGCACTGAATTGGTGAATTTTAGCCAGGTGTGGTGGCACCTACCTGTAATCCCAGTAATTGGGAGGTGGAGGCAGGCCAGCCTGGGCTACATAGTAAGACATTGTTTCAAAAAAAGACAAAGAAAAAAGTGAATTTATGGTATATGAACATACCTCATTTAGAAGAATGTTGCCAGGCACCGGTGGCTCACGCCTGTAATCCCAGCTACTCAGGAGGCTGAGATCAGGAGGATCACAGTTCAAAGGCAGCCTGGGCAAAATAGACAAGACCCTGTCTTGGACAACCCTTCATAAAAAAGGGCTGGTGGAGAGGCTCAAGTGGTAGAGCGCCTGCCTTGCAAGTGTGAGGCCCTGAGTTCAAACCCCAGTGCTGCCAAAATAAATAAATACATAAATAAACGTCAATGCTATTTCAAAACTTCAGTTTCTTCAGGGTTTACATGGGTGACTTGCATGTTGGACAGGTTAGTGATGACACATTTAAATAAATTTGTCATTAGCTGGGTGCTATTGGCTCACCCCTGTGATCCCAGCTACTTGGGAGGATCATGGTTTGAGGCCAGCCCAGACAAGAAGTTCATGAGACCCCATCTTCAAGATAACCAGAGTGGAATATCTGCTCCCATTTCCTGCATGAGGGTAGACAATCTCTCTCTCTCTCCCTGCTCCCCTCGTGTGTATTTCCTCCTGTTATACTAAAATAAATCCTTGCTGAAACTTCAAAACAACAACAACAACAAAAAAAACCTAGAGCAGACTGGGCTGGCGGAGTGGCTCAAGTGGTAGAGCGCCTGCTTGTAATGAGACCCTGAGTTCAAACCCGGTCCCGCCAAAATCATTACTAAAAATGTAAAAGGTCCATTCGTGCAGGGTATGCACAAGCAAGTGCATGCAGGAGGCGTCCTATAAGTGCATTAGCTCCACAGAGTGCTCACTGTTCACGGATAAACCCAATTTTTAATCCTCCACGCCATGCTAGAAGACAGCTGCTTCTGTCCAACCCTGTTTTACACATGGGGAAACTGAGGCTGGGAGGGAGGGCCAGTGACGGGCTTAGGTCACAGTGCCTGGGAATCAGGCTCCTTCCTTTTCCTGAATGAGGAAACTGTAGGGTTGACTGCAAGCTGGTGTCCCCAAGGCCACATCCAGCCCTTGCCAGGTGTCAGTTTTATAACGGACCCACTTTTGAGTTGATTTCCCTCATTAATCCTCTTCTACTTTGTTGATTTTTATTTATTTATATTTTTTCTGGTGGGGCTGGGATTTGAACTCAGGGCTTCACACTTACAAAGCAGGCGCATTTACCACTTGAGCCACATCCCAGGCCATTTTGCTCTGGTTATTTTGGAGATGGGGGTCTCACGAACTATCTGCCCAGGCTGGCCTTGTACTACGATCCTCCTTATCTCAGCCTCCCAAGTAGCTAGGATTACAGGCGCCAGTCCCCAGTGCCCGGCTTTGTTGATTTTTATCTTTACTTTCAACTTTCTAACCTTTGTTTCTACATACGTGAGGGATACATTCGTATTTGTTACAAAACTTGCACTTGGTTTTCTAGCTTCTTAAGGGGAAAACACTGAATGAACCCAGTGAGTTCGTGTGTTCATTCAACAAACGCTGAGTGACAGATGGGCCTGAGCCTGTGTTGCTGATGTCCTTAGGACAGGGACGACAGGAAAGACAAACAAGAACAGGGGTTAAGGGTTAGTCAGGAAGTACCCAAGGGTAGGTGGTGAGGACAGGTGACTGGCCCCCTGTAGGAGGTGACATTTAATCAAGGTTACAGCTCAACAGGCTTTGGGAGGACATTAGGGCTGGTAGCAGGGAATCTCAAATATCTGGGTCTCTCCTGCAGCTGAGTGACAGGTGCTGAGGCCAGGAGGGAGACAGTCTTGCCACCTGTTTTGTTTCCTAGTTGTGACCCTCCCAGGCCAACCCTCTCCCCTTGCCAGGTGCCAGCCAGCAGCCCCAGGCGGTCACCTCTCTGCAAGGCTTATCTTTAATCAGGGCTGGCCACTCTGTCTGAGAGCACTGCTCACATAAGGGTGGTGGGGGCCCTTGGGAGGGTCTGGCGGAACCGTGGGGACAGTCTGTAAGCATGGATCCTGGAGGCCAGGGGACGTCCACTCGCTCACCCTCCAAACAAAATCAGGGAGTAGCAGGTGCAGGTCAGGCCCCCACCTGGGTGCTGAGGATGGGGACCCCTGAGGGCTGGGACTCAGAAAGGCACTGCCACAGCAGAATCAGTGGACTTCTGGCTCCAGCCTGAGCTCTGTGGCCACAGGCAGCAGCTCCCATCTAGATGGGGACAGCTGTGTGATTCCTGACACTCGAAGCTGGGGCTGGAGCCTCAGCCCTGATACCAATGCCTCTACTGGGATGGCACAGGCTTCCGGGTCCCCTCTGAGCCCGTTTGCCTGTCCTGACTGTGTGGTTTTGAGCAGGTCACTTGACGTCTCTGAGTTTTCTTCTTTGCTGCTAAATTGCAAATAGCAGTTTTACCACCATCATTGTTAGCGGTACTGGGGTTTGAACTCAGGGCTTGGTGCTTGCTAGGCAGGAGAGCTATTGCTTGAGCCACCCCTCCTCCATCCTTTTTGGCTTGTTAGATTTTTTTTTTTTTCCTGTACTGGGGTTTGAACTCAGGGCCTACACTTTGCACCACTCCACCAGCCCTTTTCTGTGAAGGGTTTTCTCGAGATAGAGTCTCACAAACTATTTGCCAGGGCTGGCTTTGAACCTCGATCCTCCTGATCAGCTGGGATTACAGGCATTACAAGGATTACAAGTCTGCCCGGCGACTTGCTCCATTTTGGATAGGGTCTTGACTTTTTGCCCAGGGCCAGCACCAGAGCCGATCCTCCTACCTACATCTCTGAAGTGGCACAAGCCATGGCACCTGCCACTGTTACTGCTCTCCCAGTATTTCTTCCCCACTCTGCAGCAGCTCCAATTCCACCTGAACCACACATGGGGAGAGGCTCCGCCCCCTACCCATCAGTCTAAGGGCCCCGCCAGCGTTCTGGCTGGGAGCAAAATGTGGCCTCTGCTCCCAGTCCATGTGGACCCAGGAAGTGTGTCCTTTGACTCTGCTGCCTGCAGTGTGAGAGGAGCCACCAGCGTGGGGCTGCTGGACCAAGCCTCACTTGGCTGCTGGGACTTTGGGATGGCATCTAAAGAAAAAGCAATTCTCAAGTCCCAATTCCCTCTTTTTTTTCGGCAGTACTGAGGTTTGAACTTGGCCTCACGCTTGCTAGACAGGGGCTCTACCACTTGAGCCACTCCACCAGCCCTGTTTTGTGATGGTTTTTTTTTTTCAAGATTGTGTTTCGTGAACTATTTGCCCAGGGATGGCTTCAAACACGGATCTTCCTGGTCTCCATCTCCTCAGTAGCTGGGATTAAAAGCAACCCCCCATTCTTGAGTCTGAACTTTTAAAGAGCTCAGATACTATGCTCCTACTGTTGCTTGTCAGTGGTCTGGGAGACCATAAGAGAAAGACTGCTGAGGTGGGTGGCCCATCTGCCCTGTGGCCAGAAGAGCCAAAAGGGGCAGAGGAGGGGACCCAAGTGTGCTGTCACATCCCACTGTCATGTTTCTCCAGGCTCTGCTACGATGGAGCTCAAGGTGTAGAATCCAGCAGCCCTGAGTTCGAATCTCGCTTTTTCTCCGTGTGCTGTATGTCTTTGGGCTGGTCTCCTAACTTGCCAAACTGGAACAACAGTGGCTCCTTCAGAGGGCAGCTGTGTACATAAGACAGGACACTGCAGCCTGCAGACCAGTGCCCAGCATGCAGTAAGAGCTCAATAAAGGCTCACTAATGCTGTGTCTGAGCACACGTTTGGATTCAAACCCATTCTGTCAGCACAGCCCTAGCACGACCCTACAAGTGACCAGGCACAAGTCTGTTGAGCCCTCGGCCCTCATGGTAGTGGCCAAACCGAGCTGGGCAGAGCCTTGTCACCTAGCATGGACCCAGAACAGGGCTGCTGGGGCCTGAGGTGGAATCAGGGCTCCATTCTTATCTGAGGGGCAGGAATCCAGGGATGGGAGTGGGGGTGTGGTGGGGACAGGATGACAACACGTGCCATGGCTCCAGCAACTTGGTGTCACCACCACATACAGGGATGGCGGAGCCCTTGCCCCCAACCCATGGCAGCAAGGAGACGTCAGCAATTCTCTCTGAGACCTGCTTTTAATCACACTGCAAAGCTCAGGCCGAGACCCCAGGGCTGGCCTTGGCCTCCTGCTCATCGTGTGCTTTCGGTGGGACTCACTGTCCCCTCCTGAGCAGGGCCAAGCCCAATGCTTGCTTCTTGTGTAAATAAATAAATAAATAAGCCCCTACTTAACACTGCAAATGCAAACCTAGGTGTGACTCTGGGGACACAGAGTCACACCATGCCTGCCCTGAGCGAGGGTCAGGGCCACACTGCTGCTGCTGTTTTGTGGCTGGGATGGAACCTGGCTAAGTTTGTGCCATCACAGAGCCGCATCCCGGCCTGGCAGCCTGTTCTTGTGGGGTACTGTCACACGGCCAGGCCTCTCTCGTTCTCAAAACGATGGCTTCAGGTCCTCGAAGCAGGTGAACCAGCAAAGAGGGCCACTTGTGGAGGTGTCTGCGGCATCCTAGGACTGTGATGGCTTGGAACGGCCAGCTGTTTTTCCTCACAGTGGCAGTCCAAACAGTACTACCTGTGCTGGTGGCAGAACAGTACGGCCAGGGTGCTTCACCACCCCCCCTGCCGGGAACGCTGTCCAGCAGGAAAGAGTCAGGAGGCTGTGCATGCGTAGAATGAGGTCACACAGACGCTTCAGGGACCTCAGCTGCTCACCGAGTGCTTGGCACGGGAGCTGAGCTCACACAGGGAAGGCCTCAGCCATCAGGCCCTGCAAAACCCTCACAGCTTCAAGTGAACTTAAGAACAAGCAAAGCAGAAGAGGCAGCAAAACCTCTGAACCTGCGTGACACTTGTCACCAGGCCACTAGATGTGGAAACAGGAAACCAACAAGTGGTGTCAGTGAGGCTATCCTGACCATGCCACGTGGCCTTGGCAAGGCAAGGGAAGACCAGAGTGGTGTCGCTTGTGCCTTTTGCACTTCCGGCCTAAGGAGCCCTGTACTGACTCCAGGGGGCATCTGGGTGTGACATGGTGAGTGCCTCTTGACCTCCTGGTGCATTACAGCTTGAAAGCCCGGCACAGGTGCCGGTGGTGACATGGCCAGGTCCCAGGTGACCATGATGGTGGTGCGGGAGGTGCTCAGTGCAGCTCGATGAAGGCCTCCAGCTCCTCGGGGATGCGACCCTTGTAGGGGACCTTGCTGCGGCCCAGTGCGCGCGCGGCCAGGCACTGCAGCGTCACGTAGTTGAAGGGCTGCACAGCGTTGCGGGCCAACAGCTTGTCGTCCAGCAGCTCGCACGCCGTCTTCCCGAAGGCGTTGGTGGCGTCCATGTGCGCGCCCGCGTCCACCAGCGCGGCCATGGCGGCGGGGCAGTTGTTCTGCGCGGCGATGTGCAGCGGCGTGTTGTTGTCATAGTCGCGGCCGTCGGGGTCGGCGCCACAGTCCAGCAGCACGCGCAGCACGGGCAGCGACGGGAAGACGCCCACGCGGTAGCGGCCCACGTTGGTGGTGTCCTTGTCCACGGCCATGTGCAAGGGCGTGAAGCCGTTGCGGCCGCGCGGCGCGCACTTGAGCAGGCGGTACACGGTCTGGTGCTTCAGGTGCTCCTGGGCCGCGCTGCACTCCACCTTCTCCAGCAGGTAGAGCAGGTGCAGGATGACGGCCAGCGCCTTGGCCAGCTGCCCGGAGGCGGCGGGCTCGCGGGGTAGCCGCAGTGCGCGCTCCACCTCGCGCACGCCCTTGGCCAGCACGCCCATGAGGTCGCCGAAGCCCACGGGCGCCGCGGGGCCGCCCTTGGCCGCGCGCTCCTGCAGCACGTAGGAGAAGAGCTCGGCGAATGACAGGAAGCTGCTGGCCGTCATGGGACTCAGGGGCTCCAGGTGGCTCTGCTGCATGTCCAGCGCGTACTTCCACAGGCGGATGCAACGCTGGAAGTTGCCCGAGTCCGCGTAGACGGCGCCGCGGTAGCGGATGTAGTAGGACGTGTCGGGGTGCGCTGGGCCCAGAATGCGCTCCCGGATCAACAACGCCTGCATGCGCATGTCGTCGGGGTCGGTGATCAGTGTCTCCAACTCCTGCGTCGTGGCCACCTCGCGCGCGCACTCGTAGGCCAGCACGGGCTGCGGGGGCTCGGGCTTGGGCAGGGAGTCACCGCCCTGGTGTCGCAGCTCCATGGCACGGCGCCAGTGCTTTAGGGCTCCGAGCAGATCGCGCTTCTTGTCCACGTAGGTAGCACCCAGCAGCTCCAAGGCCTCCACGGCCGCCTCCCGGCTGGTGGGGCAGCAGCTCTCGTAGGGCCCGTCGGGGGAGCAGCCGCCCGGCACCCGCGGCCGTCCGGGCTGCTCCTGGATGAGGTACTCCACGATGTTGGTGTGGCCCGTGACGCTGGCGGCCAGCAGCGGGGTCATGCCGTAGCCGTCGCGCTCCATGCGCGCGTTGCAGCCCAGCAGCAGCTGCAAGATCTCCAGGCTGCCGGACTCGGCGCAGTCGTGCAGCGCCGTGTTGCCCTTGGCGCTGCGCCGGTTCACCTGCGCGCCCTGCTGCAGCAGGTAGCGCGCGATCTCGCGGTGGCCCTTGTAGCACGAGATCATCAGGCACGTGTGGCCGTGCCGGTTGGCCACCTCCAGGTCGGCCTGGTGCTCGCCCACCAGGTAGCGCACCACGTCCAGGTGGCCGTCGAAGCAGGCGGCGCGCAGCGGCGTGGAGTTGGTGCGCGTCGTGCGGTTCACCGCCGCCCCGCGACGCAGCAGGCTGCGCACCACGTCCAGGTGGCCGGCGGCCGAGGCGGCCCACAGCGGCGGCGCGCCCTCGATGGTCTCGCCATCGAAGTGCACCGAGCCGCCGGCCTCCACGCTCGCGCCGCACCTGTCCACGAGGTACTCCACCACGTCCAGGTGGCCGTAGCGGGCGGCGATGAGCAGCGGCGTCCCCCCGCTCGCCACTTCGCCCATCAGCTCGTCCACCTCCTCCCGGCTCCGGCCGCTGAGCAGCTTCTGCAGCAGCTGCAGCTTGCCGTCGTGGGCGGCATTGTACACGGCGGTGTGGAGGTCCATGGTTCGCGCCTCTGTCAGGCCATGGGTTGGCCGCGGGGGGGACAAGGAAACGGCGATTAGAGCCCCGACAGTTGGCCGGCAACCTTCACCGTCTCCCCCGCCGCCATCTTAAGGGCTCTCCCGGCGGAACAAAATGGCTGTCGTGACCAGGCGCCGTGCGCGGATGGGAAAGAGCATGCTGGGAAATGGAGTCCTGGTGCCGGCCCTCTCCTTTTAAGAACCGGAGAGGAGTGAGTAACGGACTATATTTCCCATAAGGCAGAGGGTCAGGCGCTGCAAACTGTCAGAACACTGCATGATGGGAATTGAAGTTCCAATCAGAGCGGACGGTGGTAGTAAATAGCAGTTGAAAACTACACGTCTCGTCATACTACACTACACGCTATACCTTGTGCGACCTGGAGAAGTTTGGTGACGTACTTCCTGTTGCTGTCACCATGCTGGAGCCGACAGGAAGCTCTCGCGATGGCCCCAAAGGATTACATTTCTCAGAGGGCACTCGACCAATCAGGAGCTAAGTCGACCGAGCGAGCCTGATACCGGCTTGAGGTGGCGGAGTCGCCAGCCGGCAGGGGGCGCGCGAGAAGCGCAAAAGTCGGTGGGGCGAGGACCTGGGAGGTCTGGAAGGACAGGTGGCGATGAGTCAGTGTTCCATCCGTCCCGTTTATGTCCTAACATAAGGAGAGACAGATCAGAGGGACCCAGTTCTCCCTGAGGCATTTGTCTAGGGGTTAAGCACGCTGAAGTACTGTTGAGAATGAAACTTTCCTGTTAGGTCTTTACCGTGAGCTCCTTTTGACGTTTTTAGCGAAGCTGGCCGCAGGGCGCTTGATTGACAGCTGGCCGCAGGGCGCTTGATTGACAGCTGGCCGCAGGGCGCTTGATTGACAGCTGGCCGCAGGGCGCTTGATTGACAGCTGGCGGACCCTCCTCTTGTGCCTGCTGGAGCAGGGCGCGGTCAACCCAGCAGCCCCTTCTTTGACTGACATCATCATGGCAGGCACCCTGCGCCAGCTGCGCTCCAGCTGTGAGGATCATGTGGCAGCCATGGCTCCTGCTCAGGGTCCTCCGGTCACAGGGACCCAGAGTGTCGGGACGAGCCGGTGACCCCTGGGTGACCCCGCTGCTCCCAGGTATCACTCAGGACCGGAGAGGGAGCGCCTCTAGTGACTCAGCAAAAAGCGTGATTGGCGTGTATGCGCCACCTGTTTGTGATTGGTGCACATACGAGGCCTGTGATTGGTGGACCTTGAAGGCATGCACAAGCAAGGCTGTGATTGGTGCACATACGAGGCCTGTGATTGGTGGACCTTGAAGGCATGCACAAGCGAGGCTGTGACTGGTGCACATACGAGGCCTGTGATTGGTGGACCTTGAAGGCATGCACAAGCAAGGCTGTGACTGGTGGATATAGAGGGCACGCCATGCCATGCCCCTCCCTGGCTATATAAGCAGGCTGGTTTTCATCCTTGCAGGGTCAGTGCAGGAGATGGCTCCCCGGCGTGTTCCCTGCCCCACCGTGTTGTGACATTAAGCCTCCATAAAGGCTTCTTCCAAGTGAAAGACCCAACATTCCGTGGTCTTTACCACAGGTGAAGGCGGCTGAGCCGGTTGTAGGAAGACAAGAAGTGATCCTGGGGCTTTCGGTCCCCAGACCCACGCAGCAGCAGGGAGAAGCCAGAGGACAGCCAGGAGCACCATCTGTGGAGGGTCGAGGCCAAGACTGCAGGGCTGCAAACCCCAGGCACCCGGGCAATTCCAGGCGGCCACCAGAGGTTAAGAGCCAAGGGTCCTGAGGCTCCTGACAGCTGAAGCTGGGGAGCCATGACACCAGCTGCTGGGTGAACTCAGAGCCTGGCTGTAAGCCTCTAACCTGACCACCAGCTGTGTTGCTGGCACTAACACCTTGGAGCAATAAACCTTTAGTTCAGGTCCCAGCACCATAAGCCTGTGGCTTTGAAAGCCCACACCTTGCTCAGACTGAGGCTGGCTTTTTTTTTTCCTGGTACTGGAGTTTGAACTCAGGGCCTACACCTTGAACCACTCCACCTTCCCTTTCTCGTGAACGGTTTTTTCGAGATAGGATCTCACAAACTATTTGCCTGGGCTGTCTTTGAACCGTGATCCTCCTGATCTCTGCCTCCTGAGTAGCTAGGATTACAGGAGTGAGCCACGATGCCTGGCTCTGATTTTATTTTTAAAGTCAGGTTTAGGGGGCTGGTGGTGTAGCCCAGTGACAGAGCATGCAAACACCCCCAGGTTCAAGTTCAATGCCCCCCCCCCCGATAAAATGAAGTGAAATTTATTTGAGGTATAATTTATGGGCACTAAGTTCATTCTTTTAAAGAGAATACATTTGACAAACATATACAGAAATTTTTAGTACCCCTTTTGGTCAAACCTTCTCTCCCCACCCGGCTCCTGCTTCTCTGCCTCTGTCCCTTTTGCTTTGCCTGTTCAGTAATACAAATGAAATCACACGATATGTAGCCTGTTATGTCAGCTGCTTTATGCATCAGCATCACGCACTTGACATTCATCTGGGCTGTGCGCAGATTCATAGCCAATTCCCTGTAATGCTAATGTATCCGTTGCATGCATGATTGACAGTTTATCCAATACTTGATGCTTATTTCCAGTTTGGAGCAATTAAAAATAAAGCTGCCGACTGGAGGAGTGGCTCAAGCAGTAGAGCACCTCCTTTGCAAGCATGATGACCTGAGTTCAAACCCCAGTCCCACCAAAAAACCCCCCACAAAGCTGCCATAAACTTCTGCATGCTGTGGAACTTTGTTTTTATTTCCTACGCTAATGGCTAGGAATTAAATTATTCTTAATTTGTGAGGTCTGATTGAAATTTTCACATATTTCTCCCCTTTCGCCTTTAGATTGGGAAGTCCTTGAAGGTTTGAACCAGGATATCTTAGGTTGAAAAACCCAAATCATTGACTTTTTTAAGGCTTTTTGTATGTTACAACATAGGAAATGTCTTCACACAGGATTTCCTGGTATATTTTCAGTGCTTGTGATTAATAGGTTTAACCATTTAAAGTACAGATACGCTCATCTCAGGGTAGTTTAATTCTTTGACACAAAAAAGAGTAAGATCGAAGTCTTTTTATTATTTTTGAGGTAGGCTCTCACTACATAGCCCAGACTGGCCTGAAATTTGAGATCCTCCTGCCTCAGTCTCCTGAGTGTTGGGATAACAGGTGGGGCCACCACACTCGTCAAACACTTTTTTGATAGAATTGAAGTCAGAATTTCAGCCGTGAAATCTTAAAATTTCCAACACAGTTGGGCACAATGGAACACACCTGTAATCCCATCTGTGCAGGAGGCTGAGATGGATCATGGCTCAAGGCCAAATGGGGCAAAAAAGTTAGTGATGACTACCAAAAAATAAGCTGGATTGCACCCCTCAACAAGAGGTAAGTTCTGGAACCTGAGTTTCTGTGTTCATTGCCAAGACCAAGGTCAAATAGCTGTATGGCTTTCCTGAGTGGATTGGCCACTATGAATTTGACCTGGGCTGTCAACTGGGGATGAAGGTGCTGTGTGAGGCGTGGGGCATGTGGTTCAAAGTGCTTTGTCAGCTCAAATGTGCTACATATTGGCAGGGATGGGCATGACCCTGTGAAGGGGTTTCTTTCTTTGTCCCCTCCAGCCACCACCGCCATTGTCAGTACTTTGCTAGAGCTGCCATAACAAAGTACCAAGTGGGCATCTTAAAAAATGGGAGCTACCAGCCGGGTGCCAGTGGCTCACACCTGTAATCCCAGCTACTATAACAGGAGGCAGAGATCAGGAGGATTGTAGTTTGAAGCCAGCCCAGGCAAATAGTCCACAAGACCTGTCTTGAAAAACCCATCACAAAAAAGGGCTGGTGGAGTGGCTCAAGGTGAAGCTCCTGAATTCAAACCCCAGTACTGCAAAAAAAAAAAAAAAAAAAAATGGGGGCGTTACCTTTCTCAGTTCTAGAGGCTGGAGTTCCAATACAGGGAGGCTAACTTCTCTTGGGTCCTCCCCTACTTGCAGATGGCCACCTTCTCACTGTGTTCACAGGAAGCCTTTCCCCATGTCTGGGTCCCTCTCTCTTCATCATGTTGGATCAGGGCTCTGCTCATATCTCATCCCAACGTAATTACCTCCAAAAGTCCTGTCTCCAAACAGTCATATTGCAGGGGAGGACTGCAACATACGAACTCGGAGGGGCACAAACCAGTCTTTAATGAACACCAACACAGCCATCACCACCATCATCAAGCCACCACCATCACCGCCATCACCACCACCACCATCCTCACCACCACCATCACCATCACCACCACCTGAGCCCCTCTGCCAGCCCTTTTTTTTGTGGTGGGTTACTATACATACTTTTAAGTTATTTTAGAGTGTGTGCCTTTTACTTATTTACAGTCAAGTTCACTCTAAAACAAAGTGTCCTATTGTGCCTCAGGCATCTTGTGTTTACCGTGTCTCTCTTTCTTTTCTTTTCATTTGCGGCACTAGGGTTTGAACTCAGGGCTCACGTTTGCTAGGCAGGCGCTCTACCACATGAACCACTCCACCAGCTTTTACGGTGTCCTCTGATGGCATCATTTTCTCTGTGCTCGACTTCATCTCAGGCTCCTTGGTTCCCTGTGGCCTGCACCACGTGGCCTGGGTGTGTCGTCGGCCGTGCGGTCCAGGCTTGTGGAATGTGCTCTGTGAGCTCGCACAACGGTGAAATCGCCTAGCAACGGTCTCCCAGCACACATCCCTGTCATAAGGGATGCTCGGCAGTCCACGCGGAGCCCGCAGTGACAGGAGCTGCTGTGACTATAATTAAAACCTTCACTCTGCCTGGTTCACTTCATGTTTGACCAGAAAGTGCGGCCCCGCCACTGGCTATGGTGGCTTTGGTCTGATGGTGAGGGTCTGGATGTGTGTGCTTGACACTCAGAAAAAGGCCTGGACACTGGGAAGTGACTTAAGCTGTGATCACTACACGCTAATGGAAGGTGATTTGAAATCTCAGGGTTTGGGGCTGGAGGCTCAAGTGGTAGAGCATTTACCTAGCAGGCATGAAGCCCTGAGTTCAAATCCCAGTGCCACCAAAAAAATCTGAGGATTTGTTCAACAA